TTTGGTTGAAATTGGCCTAGCGGTTCTTGAGAAGAAGTCGAAAATGGGAAAAGTTTACAGACAGACAGCTGGACAGACGGACAGACGGACGCCGGACAAAATGTGATCAGAAAAGCTCACTTGAGCCTTCGGCTCAGGTGAGCTAGAAACCTTCCAATTTATTACTTAGGTCTGATGTATTTCCGACATAAATAAACAATTTTTGATCATTTACATTCAGAAACATGCATAGAAACTTGATTTAAATAGACCTACCCTCATTTTTTCTAGTGTTGGCAATTCGGACGATTTTTAGTAACCGGTTACTCGCTTCATCTTCCGATCGAGTACCCGGTTACTCGGATGATTTTTTGTAAAAGTTTCCACTTCTAAATTCTTTTATTTATCTTATGCTTTACTTATCAGTAGTGGTAACACACAAATACACTGTATATGGACATTATATTTACAATACACACATGCGATATTGTCAACCAATTTTGATTTTAGATTTAAGAAAATAAGAAATTTGACACACGAAGAAGACAGGTAAAGACATCGTCAATCACCGTCTCACAATCGCTTTCCTTATACTTTCCTTTTCAGCCCCCGAAATATGTCGCTATCAAGGAGAAAAATAATTATCTACATACTCCGTAATTAATAGTTAATTTGTTGAGATTTTGAATCAACTGTTCTTTCTTACAGTTACACCCCAAGCTTAATTTGTCTGAGGCGGCATCTCGTAAAATTATTAAATGAGGTTATCACAACCCAGGCCCCCAAGCAATCAAAGCTATTAATTATATAAACTGTGAAAACTAATCAAAACAATTTGATCCACTACAATCATGAATTAGATCAAGTCTAACATTACCTACAATTAGAGAAATGTGTAAGTATATACATTTATAAATTATAAAACAATCATTTTGGTCTACCACATATGCATTTACTATGTAGATTTTTTTTTCAAACCGAATAGCAGTTTTACTAACCGATACTCGCATCGTTCGACGGTTAACCGGGTACTCGTTGCCAACACTAATTTTTTCTTTAACTGACAGCCATTTTTTATCTCTAAATCATGTGACTTAGATGATCGATGATCGATGTTGAAAAACAAACATCAAAATCATGAACTAGAATTTTTATAGTTATATAAAATCATATTTTGAAGTGATTTTTATCAAAGGCCACAAAATGGCCTTATAGAGAATGAACCTTTCACATTTAAAACTTTACAATCCCCCTTTATACCTTATTTTAATAACCTTTAATAACCTTTAATGTATGACAGTTGTTCACCTATATTTTTCAAAAATATTCAAATTCAAATCTATCTTCAGGAACCATGATTTGAACAAAATGTGAATCTGCATTCCCTGCGGATGCTTATTTATTAATAATATTGAGAAACTGTTAGGGCGAGTGCGGTTCATTTTTACAACATAACACATCTCAAATGTGGTATGTGCATTCTGTTTATGATAATATTGTAATAAATATTTTCTATCGGATTCCCTAATGCATCAGGATTGAGATTCTTACTTCTCAGCTTTTTCCAACAAGATTGGAAGTGTCCTAGCCATTGAATGACACAAATATGACACCATATACAAAGTCATATTTTAAAAGGATGCAAACGATTATTTTGTGGTCAATAATGGCATGGAAATTGCATTAAATCGTTGTTAGTAATTTTTTTCTAGTAAGTTGTTGCTATGTTTTAGACACCATGTTGCTATGCACTGCAGAGGGTTATTGGGAGTTTGGAATTTTTTCACATGAATTGTTAAAACTTTCTTTGAACAATGTGCAGATTTCAACCAGAATTTCCTCCATTCATACACATTGTCTATGGATTTCACTATGCAAGCGGGGCTTCGCACTGCCTCACACAGCTGTTCTTGAGAGATTCCCAGACTTATCCCATGTAATTCTTTAAATTACTCTGCCCTTTATTCTCTCCCTAGCCATTCCTTGTGAATATTTCACATGGAGAACAATTTTCTGGCTTTCACAAAATTGTCAGATTTTTTTCATTTTCAACAGTACTTATTTGAAAATCTTTAGATTTAGAACTTTCTCAACTCCCCCACAAAGGAGCAGTAGTATGTTAAATAACTGTGAGGTATTTGCGATATTATGTATTGATGTTATAATACAGGTAGTAGATGAAAGTGCTCTGATATTATGATCAACACACTGTACATGGGTATAAAAATAAGTTATTATCAATCAAAACAATTCAGTCCCTTTAGCTTATCTTAGTTATCTGCAAACAATATATGTCTGTTCAACCATTGACCATCTTGCTGTGTACCGGCCATGACTAGTTATTTACATTCTAGTGCCAAGGTTCATTATGAGACTCATAGTCCAATTATTCATTTTGATTTATCACAGAAACCTCACAACAGTCAATATCACTGATAACAAAAGACACTCCAAAAAGGTATCTAAAACATACAAAACGGTTTCACACAAAATAGTTAAACACATGAGCATGACTGTGAATTTTTTATATTATTATTATATATAATATTTTTCATTCGATCATTACTGTTAAATGAATTACATAAAGCAAAATAATCAGATATTTCTAATGTAAGTTTGACAATATGTATTATACAAACACCTGGTATGTATCACACTCATTTCTGATCTAAGATACATGTACCCTATTCACAACCTAGCTCAAATACCTTTTCAACCTGCTATTTTTCATAGAAACTTAAAGACAATATGGATAAAAGCAGAAAAATTCAATATAACATGGATTCTTTTTTCAATCATCAATTCAAGAGGGGAATTTTATCTGCAAGCCCAACCACATAAATAATTTCAATGCCGTCAAAATCGATTAACTGTATTAAATAAAAATGCAGAAAATCAACCAATATCCAATGATGAAAGAAAATGGATTATCATGACATCCATAAATTTCTTAAGATTTTTCTTCCTTCACAACAAAATAAACCATATTCACCCTTTTCATGCACCTATATAAAAATAATATGCATGTATTACATCCTGTTCTTCTATCCTCAGTACCTGATGTGCATATTTGATTCATTCTTAAAAAATAAACTTAAGTCTCTTTTTTGATACTTTAAATGTCCCTTTTGAAAATTTTTCACTCTTACTAAGATGCCACCACTTTCTGGTGGGAGGCTGCAAATTTCAGATGTACACTTGGCACTGATCAGGGCCTTTAAACAGGCAGGATCTTTTTTGTGCCAGCACCTACACAGGACCTCGTTTTATATGGTCTCCTCCCAAGGACTGGTCTCAACACCCAACAGTGGGATTCGATCCTCTCGACAAGAGGATCATTTCCCTACTCTGCAACTCGAGCATCCACTTTATCCAGTTTTTCATGAGGGTGACCTTCAGGTACTAGGTTGGTTTGATTATTTCTTATAACTTGTGTTTGAATGAAGTAGTCAATAAGGTCTTAATTCAATCAGGAATTAATTTAAGAGGAATAAAAGTGTGAACATTTTAAATATAATTTTCTTTCGAAATAAGTAATAGTGAGGTCAAGGTCATAGGAAAAATAATGACACTGTGACTGCTGAATTGATCTCATTTATATGTGTCTTAAATTTGAATGAATTTAATTTAAAACATCTTCTGAAGTGAAGTTCAGGACAATGGAAGGTCAAAATCATTAGGGAAGAAATAAGAAAATCATTACATTGCTAAATTGCTCCAATCTTGCTAATTTATAACTAATAAGTCCAGAGTATCTGACTGATATTTTAGACTCGTTAACTCAGTATGATGTTTGATATCTCATTCTTGAACAGTTTCTTCAAGAAAATGCAGAATGAGGAATAGTGAGGTCCAATAAGAGGTTGAATAACTCTCCGAAATATATACAGTATCAGTGTACAAATGTAGGTAAAAATGTTTCTAAAAGTTTCTTTGAAATTAAAACAGCCAAGTGCAAAATGTGATGGACAGAAAGACTAAATGACAGAAGGATGAACAGATTGATGAACAGCAAAGAAGATGGATACAAACACTAAGTAGGCCACAGTCATGGCAGTCATTTCATATAAAATATACATTAGCTTGCTTGATATCATCAGAAAATGTCTAAACAAAGTATTATTCTATTTTATACAAAGAGTCCTCGGGAAACAAAAGCCAAGGGTAATGCAATAAAATGAGTAAATAAATGATTGACTTTGTATTTTCAAATTTCCTCATTTAAAATAACTTTCCCTTTCCCCATGCAGAATACAAAAAGACTTGATGACAGATTTGATTACATACATTTAACTTGTATCTATATCCAAATATTTTTTTAAATCTGATATCTTATAACTAATATTCAATATGCAACTGTCCAATAATATATTTGCACTGTTATGATATGCATTATATTCAGAACTCAATGGTATGCATGTTTGTTGAACATGAATCTGTTCTTTATCGGTTTATGACACCTGAGATGTAAAACTAGGATTGTCATACACTAGTGTATGCAAGAATTAAGATACTGATTTTTCAGAGTTGGCATAAAAAAGAAGGAAATATTCATATTTCACAGAACAGTAGGAAATCTTGAGTGCCCGGGAAATAAAACAGTTTGTTAATCTTTTTTTCTTACTCATTTTTGCAAAACAGTTCAACACTTTTAATTATTTCTAAAACTACTCATTTTTCTTCAACTGAATTTCTCCAAATTTTCTGTTTATGATACTGTACTACATGTTGCATTTTCATTAAATTATTTTTGATTACTCAATCACTTGATAAGTTAGTGTTATATTTAAGGAATAAAGGTATTCAACAGGATTTGTACCTAATTAAAGTACAGTCTTTAAGTATTTCTAAATTCATGTATTGCTTGATACAGTCAATGAACTGAATAAGGACAATTCTTTGATTCCACTATAAAATTTGTTTGGCTTATATATTTTAATAAATTAGCTATATGGCTGGAAAGAGAGCTCATGAATTCCCCATTCTTCATTCAGCAAGGATAAATTGCCTTTTGACTTTACCTGCTGGGATGATAGAGTATGGTTTGATTTTCCTCCATATCCACCACCACCTTAGTTGACATGTCAATTTCTGAAATAGACATCAATAAGCAACTGTGAATAAAGCACTACAATATTATCATTTAAAACATGTACCGGTACAAATCACAAAACATGCCTCTTTCACTTTACTTTGATAATTTAATTTTTACAAAGTTACCCAATCCAAGGATGTTTTTTTAAATCAAATTTGTCTTTATAAAACATGTACCGGTACAAATCACAAAACATGCCTCTTTCACTTTACTTTGATAATTTAATTTTTACAAAGTACATGTACATCCAATCCAAAGGATGTTTTTTAAATCAAATTTGTCTTTATGAGGAATTCTACATTGAATTTCTAAAGCACTATTTTTAAGTTAAAGTCACTTCTAGATGTAGCTGACCTGGTGAAAAAGAAACCACATGTATCTAAACCAAAAAGAAATGTCTTGTAGTATCATATTTCAAAGTTTCAAATCTTTGGAAAACCTTAAAGTTCTTTCAAATATATTTGAAATACTATTAAATATATAATTTTTTTTCATATTCCATGGTGATTGCATGGTTTACATTTTGAACCAGTTTTTCTCTAACTGTGGAACACAAATCTTCCAACAACAAGTTATGTGCAAGTATAACTTTAACTGAGTTAGAGAAACGGAATCAGACGACTCGAAGTTGTTATTCACTCATGTCAATGCACAATGATGCAGTTGGGAAATCAAAAAAGAGAAATGGTGAATGACTGAATGTGCATGAATTTCCATGAAACTTTTCCTTTATTGATACTATTCTCATGTTAAATGAATTTGAACAAAATAATTTTTATAGAACTGAACCAAATTAAACCAATGAATTCTGACTCATCCAGTCTAGAAGATATATGTTTATCAGAATGGGGACCACATCAAAATTACACAGTGACCGTCAACAAAGAAACAAATGACATGTACATGTTCACAGATGGATATATTTTTCATTCCTCAATCAATTCCATACTCAGTTTCTTTTCCTTACCTTAAGGATAGATGAAATGTTCTCAATAATATATAATTTTTTCCAAGAATTAATCACTGAAGTATTACAACTTTAATACTGTAAAACGAGCATATTTGGCGCACTACTAATTTTAGCGCCTTTGACGCAAAAGCCCCTGAACGCTAAAATTTATTGTGCGCTAACAGATTTCAAAATATTTGTGTGTGTGTGTGTTCAAAGCTTTTACATTAGTACATGTAAACCAGAGGGCGCGATTACGTAATGTCGAAGGGTCGTTGATTTTATATACACACTAGCACTGCAGATGGTAGGATCGATCGAGAAAGTTCTGCCAAATTATAATTTAATTAAACTATTGTTACCCCGGTAGTTATTACCTGATTCTTATCATTAGCACCTTCAAAGTTTGGCTTCTCGGCGTGTCAATCATCTATCGCCTCGAGGTAAACAGTGCAATTAAGCATGGCCAGGTTGAGCTTGTAGACAATACCTGATTATGATTTCCGTTTATCCAAGTAACTTTCTTTCGATGCATGCATTGTTTTAATATGAATAAAATGCGTAAATATTCCATTTCTTTTATTTAAAATAAAAATAAAATAAATTTTAACACTGTGTCATGTCCGTGTCATTGCAACACCACGGTAAAGTTGACGAATATTTACTTATATATACGGGTCGGAGCACTATTGTGTTTCCTTGCTTGACTAACCAAAAAGTCAAATACGGGTGTGGATAAAAAAACCAAATATCACATATGTATATATTTATGACAAGTGCAAGCGCTAAAATTTATTTGCGCTAATGTATTCCCACTTGCGTTTGCGCTAAAATACATATGCGCCAAATTTTCTCGTTTTACGGTATGTTTACTCACAAAAATTGAGGTACCTTACCAAGTGTTACCAAGCATTTGTGCAAGAAAGCAGAGGGTAGTGTTTCTTATATACTGTAAAAGCAGAAATATTTATGGGGGATTAAATTTCGTTTATTTCGTTTTTGACAATTACCAACAATATTAAATCACACACAAAATTTATCTATGACTTCATATTGAATAGGATTACTTTCAAAACAACAAAATTAAAAGCAGGGGATGACAAATCCCATTGCCCGACGCCCGAGGCTAGTGAATTTTAGGGGTGGGCAAGTGAAATTTTATCAACCAATTGCCCGTGGGCAAGTGACTTATCAAAAATAGAATTTATTTGTAGGCCATAAATTTAAAGCTGGGCATAGGAGCTTGTATGATTTACTCAGCATTTTTCTTCCTCTATTTTTGAAAAATATCTATAAATACAGAATTAGTTTATGGTAGGGCAAGCAAAAATTCAGGTAGGGCAAGTCAATTTTGACCATGTACTTGCCCTTGGACAAGTGCCTTAAAAATCTATTTGTCAGCCCCTGAAAAGCCCACGAAACTATGTTGCACATGACAAATATTAAAACGAAATTTCATCCCTATGAAAATTTGTGTTTCTATTGTTAGTATGTAATCATTTTGGGGGGAAAACCTTAATTCTTCAACATGTTCAATATCAAATTTTAAAGTGTTGTATTGTTTAAGATGATCAAAAACTGGTTTAATAAAATCAGAATCAATGTAATTAAAATTTTGAATATTTTTCATACATTTCAAAAATGTACAGAACAGATATATGAGGAACGTATCTTCTAACCTTAAAGTTTACTACTGGAATAAAGAGATGTAAACTAAATATATATTCGTTAAGCATGTTAAGATTCTTTGAGACAGCATTATATTTCAGAGCTCCAGATAAGGTGCGTATTTGCAGAAATATGCATTAAATTTTACAAAATACGCATTAAAATTAAAATAGAGCATACAATTATGCATTAGCAATTATTGATACACATTACACCACGAAAGTATTGCGTACAACAAGTTGAAGAAGAACACAGGTATGACTTACTTAATGATACGAATTGAGGTTAACTCAGTGTTTGATTTTTCTCAAAACCAAGTACAGATTTAAAAGCCTTATAGCGATCAGGAATATTCTAGTAATGATGAAGTCGATCGCCATTTCGGGAGATAGAATCAGAGATATAGATTAAAATCAATTTCTATGTAGGAAGACTATGCATTAGGCATAACTTTTTTTATTATGGGTTCGTAGCGAATTTTCTCTCAACTTGCCACATTAACGAAGATTCTTTTCTCTCAGTATACTCTTGATACGATATCTTAAATGAAGGAAAAGTTTTCTGTGTCTCTGACTCTATGGTACCTTGACCTACTGTATAATCTTCCGTGTCAAAAAAGAATGCTTCCAAATCTTAGCAAAAAGTCTTGCTGGTACATGTATTTACAAAATTTATTCAAATAAATGCAGGAACTGACCTTTGAAGTTTTTTCCCTCTTCAAAAACACATATATATATATATATATATATATATATATATATATATATATATATATATATATATAAATAAACAAAATACTCTTCAATCAATTTGCTGAAAATCAAAATCTGCATTGATTAAAAAATCAGGGAGTAAATTTATACACTTTGGGGTAAAAAATTATCTGGAGCTCTGTATTTACAGTCTTTCAGTGCTTTACAATACTCAGAGCATCTTTATAGAACTTAGTGATATTAAACAACCATTACTGAAAATTATGTAACTATTCGTATCGTTAAACTGGGGGGGTGGGGGGGGTATGTTTATCCAGAAAAAACTCTTATTCAGGTGCTGACAGACGAAGACAAACACACTGGCAGTCTTACAGGCAGCTTAATTAATATTCGTCATTACTGGGGAAATTAGTCAGTAGTAAAGGAATTACTATCTTTATTTAAAAAAAACATTAACATATTCTGCTACTCATATCTGGGTTAGTGTCAACATTTATAAACAAAATATCGCATGATACCTCGCCTGTTCATTGGTCTGACCCTCACAGCCACACGAACTTTTTCGGTCGACATTTTGGATGTAGCTCTGTAAATGAATATTCTCCTAGAAACAGGCGTCCAAGTGAATACAATTAAAACTCATACTGTTAGTCCGGATTTACTTCGATACCAACACACATCGACGTCTTGTATATCGCCATTTTCCCATAATATTAATCCGGGCACTTCCTCCCACCAAATTACTTCCGCCGTTTATCAAGAAACCTTCTGGGGGTTATATCAAAATCCTAAAAAAATAAATTTTAATACTTTTTTAAGTAAGGTGTAAAACATTCAAGCGCATCAATTCTATTTTTCTTCCAAAGTATCTATCCACAGAGAAATGTTCATCCATGCTATATCCTTATGAAAGAAACTGTGACTCATGGCACAGTAAATGAGATACACAACAGCACAGCAATCAAAATCAATATACAAACTGGTCTGTCTGTGTAGCTTGGTACAAATCTCAACGTCGTTTTATACAGAATAAAAAATATATATATTCTAAGTTATAAGAATAATATACAAGATTCAGGGAGTCAGATAGATGGTATGTACATGTACATTGTCTGTTCCAGCGGAATTTAGCATGCAGAGACTTAATCACTTATAGTGTTAATTGGAGGGGGGGGGGGGTAACAAACCAACAGCAAATTTATCATATAAGCAGGCTGATAATTAAGTTGGTCATCTACAAACTAGCCTTCTTAAAAAGAGTTCTATACGATTCTACATACACATATATTAACATGATTAAACAATTAAGACTAGGAGATGCCTGCATGTGTTCCTCATTGACAAAATCTGTATGTAGATCAGTCTTTACATGGAGACTAAGTTTTCAAACAATATGTTTTTAAAAAATCCAATGGACAATATAATTCTGTCATTTAATCAGTTGAATCAACATACACTATTTGAAGGAGAATTTTAAGAAAGGGTTTGTATGATAAGAATATAGTAAGTATTTTGTTGTGGCCTTCAAATTGAGGAAAAATACGATAGATCAGAGCGCGGGATTTCGACTCTTTCACCTGTCACACAGTTTTCAATCATGATTGTTTATATCATTTAATTATTTTAATATGCGTCTTAATTATTTATGGTATAGACCCCGATTCTTGAACCAAAGGATATATGTTTTATAGTACTCCAGTCCTCCACAAGGGAGGTGACGCAAGTAGGCCTACAAACAATAACAAGCAATGTATAAATGATCTTTCAGTATATTCTGTCTATTACACCGAACCCTGGTACACTTAAAAAAATTAGACAGATGTTGTTTATTATAATACTGATGATGTTGTTCTGTTAACAACCTCAGACAATGGTCTTCAAAAAATAGCTAAAGGCATAATAGGATGAATTTTGTCAAAAATGGTGTTTAAGTGGTAAATGCAGTTTTAATAAATCTGGTATACTTTTGAAGACTATTTCTAATTGAATAAAAGTATACTCGAAAATGATACCAGTTATATCTTGGTGTTAACTTCACTGCGCAGGCTAAAGTTATGTAAATATGTAAATATCCTCGTCACGGCACCAAATGGGAATGGACCCCCCCACCCCCTTAAATCCTCCAGTGTCATGTACTTAGAGAGTTCATTCTAAATTAAAAAATGTTATACCAAACTCCTAACAAGATCAGTGGTAAAGACGACGATTTTAATGTTTGACATGTATATTATGCTTTGACAAGACATCCCTGCTAATGTTTTGATGTTATATTAAGGATATCCGATCCTCAGCCAGGTAGGATAACTCCAAAATTAATATTTAATTTGAAAGGCATCAAAATGAAGCTTGAAAATGAAATTTTTTTGCAACAATTTTCATTTTATTCATCTTTATCAGATTCAAGGTTTTTGGAAGTCTTAGAAAAGGTCGTATAAAAGTTGACATTTGTAGCCTATAAAAGGAAAAAAATAATACAATTTTAGAGAAATAAGATTTTCTTGAATCCAGCCTTAGATATACCAATGCTTATTAGCATGTAATGAAATAAGAAGTGATTTGTGGTGTCTTGCAATGATAGCAAAAGCCTTTTACACTATGTATATTGGAATACATGACGGAAATAGAAGACAAAAAATACCAAATAAGTATGAAAATCATGATAATTTCTCTGAATGCCTGGATACCTAAATATATTTGTTGATCAATTTGCAATTAGAAAATGCATTGCTGATATTCCAATTCGCTTTTTCTGCAAAAATATTGGAGATTTCACAATTTTCCCTATATAATATGATTAACTTTAAACTTAAAAGAAATACTGTGGGTGAATTTACATAACATGTGGATTTAGAGATACTTTTATGAGTATTTTTGATTACTTAACTGCAAATTTTATGACCCTGAGGATCGAACTACCTTTATTATATTTCCTTACATGTAGGTATAGGCCTCAAACAGTTAAAAAAAATTTTTTGTTGTTTTTACCGATTTTTGAACTTGAATAACCTCAGGTTTCAATAATTAAATTGGATTTAAGTATCCGTGAATTGCAATTGATTTTCATTGTTTAATTTCTAGGAAAGTTGAAAATTTTTAGCTCACCTTAGCTGGAAGCGTCGGTCTGTAAACTTTTCACATTGTGAACTTCTTTTCAAGAAACACTGGGCCAATTTAAACAAAAAAAACTTTATACAAAGCATCCTTTGGTAAAGGGAAGTTTAAATTGTTAAAATCAAGGGCCAAGTTTTCTTACAAGGGGAAATAATCAAGAAAAGACAAAAACGGGGGGGGGGTCATTAAAAAAATATATTTCAAGAAACACTGAGCCAGAAATGCTGAAATTTTTTGGAGAGAGAGAGAGAGAGAGAGAGAGAGAGAGAGAGAGAGAGAGAGAGGGAGAGAGAGAGAGAGATGAATGGTAACTTATATGCAGCATCCTGGGGGTATTGTAGATTCTAAATTGTTAAAATCATGACCATCGGCGGTAGGACGGGGCCGCTGCAGTGATTGAATCCAAGTTTTACATAGAAATATATAGGAACAGGCAATCTGTAACAATCTTCTTCTCAAGAACCACTCGGTAAAAAAGGCTGAAACTTGTATGAAAGCATCCTTGGGTAGTGTAGATTCTAAATTGTTCAATGGGGTCACCACAATAGGTATTACAAGGGGGGTCTGCTAAAGAAAAGCATGGCCAAAGTTACTCAAGTGAGTGATATGGCACATGGGTCCCTTGTTCTATAAAGTAACAAAATAAAAAGAAAGATCTTTTTAACTTTCGTTATCCAAATTTATCAATCTGTATGCCATATACGACTTTAAAACATTGCCATTTCAATTCCATTCTTTGGATTAGATAGTCCAAAAAATATGAATTTCATAATTTGGGAAGAAGCACTCTTGCTCATCATAATAATGCACTTAGTTTATCTGCTAAATGATCAGGGAAAAAGAGAAGATTTTCAAAGTATTAATGCATTTTTCTCATAATCCAATAGAGCCCCGTCACATAATTGAAACTCTTAATCTCTGCCACTTAATTACATGCTCATCATAACCTTGCATTTAATTTGTTTCCGTAATGCTTGATCGACGAAAAAGATACTTTTCAAGAAAATAATGCATATTTAGTATAATTGGTTTTTTTTTTTACTATTTGTAATAAATAGAGTCCTGCCCTAACACCAGATTCACTGACCCAGGGGCGACAAACATAAATTATGCAGAAGTCATCTTTTCTCAATATATGGGAAAAGAAAGCTGCTTTGATCGGTACATCCCGTTAAACACCAAAAGTTAAATTAAACCCCTAGCCAAGAGACTGTGGATTGCACAGTTTTGGAATAGACACCCTTTGCATATCATAAGCATATCTTAGTTCATCTGCTTGCTGATTTTACCCAGAATCAGACAAGATTTTCAAAAGAATGAAGGCAATTTTACTGAAAACCATCAGAACCTAACATTCGTTCAATACCTAACATGTCTGCTGAATTTATAGTGGAGGGGAAGAAGCTTTTAAAAGGAATTGTGCGCTTGAAATCATCATACTAAGCTCATTTGAGGCACTCCTTAATGTTTCTTACCTAAAACATACACAGAGCTTAACTATAGAACTGTCCAAAATGGACAAGTTAATGTATCTAAGAGGTGTTCACGGCCGGTAATAGATCATTATGTTTTTTAATGAATGAAGCTAAGGCACAGCATATCAAAACATTAATTCTAATTATAACGTTTTTTTTTATTACATTGAAAAAATAAATAACAATTTTTCAAGTATTTCTCAATTGGAAAGTATGGATGCATTACTTATCATTTTTTATGTAGAGTGACTAAGGTCAAGATCACGATACATCCTCAGGACATAAGCCATCTCAGCGTGAAGTGGAAACTCCCAATATCCAAACATTCTCCATGAGAAAGATACGGACAGAACACGATTTATGATTTTTTTTCTGTCAGTGAGCGTAAACTTGCAAAAATGACCTTGAGTCAAGATCATTACACAGTAAGACACAAATGCAGGTCAACTGGGGAACTCGCCAAGTTAATCCAACAGAAAGATATGAACAGGCGACGAATTATGAATTTTTTTCGAGGTTATAACATATACCCTCAAGTAATAATCTTTTAGTAAAACTCTCAAATTTTATCCATAAGAAAGATATGGATCGGATACGTATTAAAAGAAATTTTTGCTTTTAGTGACCTCAAACTTGCCCAAATGACCTGTGTCATAACCGGTCAGGTCATAAGCAATCTTTTTAAAATGAAAAACTCACCTATTTTATCCAGAAGAAAGTCATGTACCAGACTATGAAATTTTTCTTTTATATTCTTGAACTTTCCCAAATGACCTTGGGTCAAGGTCATGACACACATGGTCGGGTCATAAGCAATCGTTGTGTAAAATGGGGAACTCACCAAGTTTATCTAAAAAAGAAAAAGATATGAATCGGACACGAATTATTAACTTTTCTTTCAAGTGACCTTGAACTTGCCATACTGACCTTGCGTCAAGGTTATGACACATCCTCAGGTCATGAAAATTTATTTGTATGAAGTAAATAATTTCTAATATTCCTCCATAAGAAAAATATTGACCGGATACGACGTTTGCACATACAGACGGAAAGAAAGACGGACAAAGTGATTCCTATATCCCCAAAATTTGTTTGTGGGGGTATAAAAAGTAACGAGTTGGATGGTTTGTGAATGGAAAGGGGAATACAGCTGAAATTAATGTAAATGTAGATAAACACAAAAAATGACACTGAGACTGAAGGTATATATTAATTTTCTTATGACAGGCATTGGAAATAATTTTATAAAAGGTAGCGTCTACATGTATAATAGATAATTTGGATAACAATAAAAAAAAAGAAATCTGTTGATTAAAATCACAAATTTAGCATCATTTTCATTTTCCAATTAAGGACAGATGATACAAACAAAAAATGGATGACTGGATTAGTATATATTTTTTGACCTAATTTCATTGCAAATGATGCAAATAATTCATTTCTAGAATATAAAGCAATTTGTAACCTTCTGTGATGTTCAAAATTCTACACTTCTGAAACCATCCTTATTATTCTAGACAAAATATTTTTCACTTCAAATTCCATTTTTGTGCAACTTTGAATAAAAAATTAAAAACTATGCGGTGAAACTATTCATTTTATTCATTAAAACATGACCCAAGTTGCTATTATCAAAACTTTTGACAAAAGTTTGTGTGTATCATCTGTCCTTGAATATATTTTTTGATTGACACATCATTTTCTGTCGAAGCATTGTACATAGTAGACTATGTACGTAATTATTTAACGGATAGCAAATTACGCTTTTTAATTCTATTTACTAGTAACCAATTAGCAACAGTGTAATTTTTAAGGATATATAAGACTGCCCACTAGTATCGGACTGTCAAAGGTAGATATTAAATTGCAAGAACAACGGAATGGCACCACAACGATGACATGAAAATACAATAAAGCTGACATAAGCTTTGAAATCGATTTTAGTATTTCATATGAACAGCGTACTAGATTTAATTAAAGCGATATCCTGGAATCTGATACTCTGGAGAAAAAGGCATGGATGGGTGTTCTCTAACTGCAGATCTGTAGCGTTATGGTTTTATATATTTGTCTTTGACCATAACGCTACAGATCCCGTAATGCAAAAAGGGTGTAATTTTACAGCGCAATATTTTTTGCGTACTTTTGGGGAGACTTGCTCCACTTTCTAGCACTGGTCAATCAACTATACCTTTCACTCTCTAAATCTAGACACATTCTGTAGCCAATATGTATATTTTATCCATCCCCAACCATTTAAAGTTGTCTCTACAGGCAATAAAATCGCTTGGAGTGAATTTTCAGCAATCTAACAAATAATTTTAATCAAGCGAGTTTATCACTTGTAGAGACGACTATGAAGGGTTGGGAGATGGATAAGATATATATATATATATATTGGCTACAGAATGTGTCTAGTTAGCGTCTTTCAAATGGCGAATAGATTCTCATTGGTTAAGAAATTAATAACATCAGGAACTTTGTTGTTGACAACGATGAGACGACTTAAGCTCCACCTCTTTGCCGGACGATACAATGTTATTGGTTATTCGATACACTAATTGGCATTTGCCCGAATTTCTATCCCATGTATATTTCAACAGTGAATGAAAGCTGTGTAAATTTCAGAAGCTAATTATGCAACGTCGAGAATGCCACGCCTTACTGAAAGTCCAAGCTAAACTGGAAATGGTTCTGATATAAAAAGATTGCTTGGATAAATAATGTCTTGAATATTTTAAACAATTGTGGACTTTCGAATATTTGGAACAGTCAAACCTTTAATCCAAACTGGTTAAGAGCGAAAGTAAAATTAACTTCAATCGATCAGTTTAAACAAAAATGGAATTCGGATGTTCAAAATTTATCAAAGACCCTAAATTACAGAATATACAAATACGAACTAAAATTTGAAAAATATTTAGAAATTCTATCACGAAAAGAAGCCATTCACTTCTGCAAATTTCGTACTTGTAATCATTATTTACCAATTGAAACTGGACGTTGGTGAAATGAACCAAGAGAGATTAAATTATGTAAGAAATGTCATTTAAAAGAAATAGGAGATGAATTCCATTACATATTAAATTGTACATCAGTGACACGTGAAAGAAATAAATGTTTAACGCAAACAGTTACGATTTAAAAATACAATTACTTTTAGAGAAATAATGAATTCAGAGAAACTGTCATTTTAAAAAAATGTGTATATTTAAAAAAAAATTACTAAAACGCGCTCCCCGAATTAGTAAAGATCTATACCTATAATTGCACTACTTGTCTATCCTCATACTCACGCATGCTATAAATGTATTTTTATTTGTCATCATTGTTGTTTACATTTATATCTCGGTAAACAATTGTAAAATTGTGAAAAGTTTAAATAAATTCAGTTCAGTTCAATATAAAGGAGCTTATTCAGAGAACCTGTGAAAAGAGGGCATGCGCTGATTTTTGAGGGAGGAGTCGAAGGACGGACACTTTAAGAATGGCGGACGGGGCCATAAGAAGTTATGCTATAAATTTTTATTGCAAAAGCTTAAAAACTTCTTGAGATATCGCCCAAAAATGAACGTTTTACGCATACTCACAGAATGTATGAATTTACGACCTTGACTGACGACCTTTTGGTATCAAAATACATAAGGTTCTTCCTTAGGCCATAGGAAGATACGGTTTAAAATTTCACCACAGAAGCTCAAAGGCTACTCAATTATAGCACGGAAACGAAAATGTTGAAACAGACAGATTTTAATTATTAATCTATCATCTTGATCTTTGATTCTTTGACTTCAAATATAAATATATATATAGGTGTCTTCCTTAGGCCATAGGGAGTTGCTGCGTAAAATTTCAAATGCTTCTCAAGATATGACGCAGAAACGAAAGTATTACAGAACTTCCAACGGCATAAGGAAGACCCCTATTTATTTTGAGATCAAAGGATCAACGGTCAAGGTCGTAAATTTATACATTCTGTGTGTTGATACCCTGGATCTTTGACACGTGATAATGCCTATATTTTCTGCAGAGGAGGATATCCTGCATGGTGCGGTGCAAAATGTAGAAAAATAATTATCCTTCTGTCATTCGCAGCTGTAGCATATTCAGAACAATTTTCACTTGTTGAACAATTTTCAATTTTTGTCCTCCGCTTTCGCGAAAGCGAGGGGACACTAAATCTCATTCGTCTGTCCGTCTAGCTGTCCGTCAGTCTGTCCGTCCGTCACAAAAACTTTAACCTTGCCCATAACTTTTGATTCAGTGGAGCTATGACTTTCATATTTCATATGTGTATTCCTTGTGACAAGATCTTTCTTTGAGTACCATCATATTTGACCTTTTGACCTTGACCTTGGAGTTTGACCCACTTTTACAAAAAATTCCAAACTTTTACTTTGTCCATAACTTTTGAATGGTAGGTACTAGGACTTTCATATTTCACATATATACTATTTGTAACAAGACCTTTTATTGGATACCAACAACTTTGACCTTTTGACGGTGACCTTGGAGATTTCCATACTTATGAAAAAACTTTAACTTTGACCATAACTTTTGAATGGTAAGGGCTAGGGCTTTCATACTTCATATATTTAATTCTTGTGAGAAGACCTTTCATCGAATACGAAGAACTTTGCCCCTTGGAACTTGGACTTTGAACTACTTTTCAAAAAATTTGACCTTGGCCACAACTTTTGAACAATAGATACCAGGACTTTCATATTTCACATATGTATTCTTTGTGGCAAAACCTTTCATTTGATATCAACAACCTTGACCTTTTGACCTTGACGGATACCCTATATTAAATTTGATATTGATTTAAAGAAGAGGCCATGAACATACTAATTACCATTTTCTGAGAGACTGTAGGCAAATACGAAAAAAACTCCCATATTCATGACTGGTTTTCTTAATTTTTCATTGAAAATGACAGTTTAAGATACAGTTTTTCATGTTGTTTACCTACAAATTATGCCCCAAACACCTTATTTGACCAAGCTAAAGTTGTAAAGCATCAATAAAGGAATTTATTTCTCAAGTTTGATAAATCTGTAGGCACCTTTCATTTACTAGATCTTGACCTTAATAATTATTTTACTGAACTAATAGAAAAAAAAAAAAAATTTCATAACCACGAAGAGGCGGTCTTTATGCTGTATACTGTATACTAATCATGTGATCAAGTTTGAGCCAATCAGAGAGCTTGGAATAAATGATATTAAAATGATGTATGTTTTTTATATATGTTTAATATATATAAAGTTGCTTATCATTTACTATCGAAAAAACGACAGGTCGCTTTTTTTTAAAACATCGCATAAAAACGTACTCTACACAGTTCGTGTTTTACATTCTTAAAGTGAAATACATTTTTGAATATAGGTGATGCATGTGTCTGGTTTCATTTATATTTTATGCAGCCAATATTTACTTGAGGAATTGAAGTTAAAAGGTTATCGTTTTAGTTTGATTTTCATCCGACTATAAGTTTTCAAAATATTCTCGTCTAGATCGCCCCGCCATTTAGACGCATGAAAAATCTTTCACATGTATATCGAAGCAGTTAGATGATCAAGACTCATTTCCATTGTTTACTTTATTTTTTTCCAGGGCGACAATTGATGGTTACATCAATGTTTTCTTGTATTATTTTTAAATAAGTATACTTTTCAATATTGTCGGGTTTGTGATACAGAAATACAGAACACATGTAGGAAATCCACGCAGACGAATTTGGAGTTGGCATGGCCATGGATATTAAGAAAATTTTGTGTAAGTCAGCGAATAATCGTTAAAAAGATTATTATAGGATATCGAGGAATTCAAAAAATACCAATGTCTTTAATGAACATCAGTGGAGTTCTAGGAAATGTCCTTACTGACTCCTGGATGCAAAGATACAGTACCTGGCCATAAGTGAGTCATAATTTTATTTTTACGCTATATATTTCATTGAAAAACCTATTTTTATAAAAACTTGTTGTGAAGTCAATTTTAGCTCAATTTTTATGATTTTTTCACTGAAAAATGCAGAATTATTCAAATTTTCTTATCTTAGATGATAAACAAAAGGATTCTTAAACCATTTAGAATAAATTATAAAATATTGTCAAGACAAAATTTTCAAACCTCAAATTATTATGATTTCTTAACAAATTGAAGTCTTAAAATTTTTGTTTTGCACTTGACCTGTGATTTCTCGGTAATGCATAAAGATAAAACTTTTTGAAATAATGTGAAGAAACTACAACAAATTCTGCATTTTATGGTGTTTTAGACATTTAAAAGAAACAACAAATGAGACTGTAATAATATTTTAGAAAAATGCGTTTTTCAATGAAATATATAGTGGAAAAATAAAATTATGACTCACTTATGGCCAAGTACTGTAAGCCAAGTCCAAGTCCCAGCTTGGTCTACGGATATCCACAGCCTACTAGTGATCTCAGCTTTTACTCATCACGGATGATTTTGAGTCAAATGCTGACCTTTTTTCATACTATTTGTTAGGCCATTATTTACACACTGCAGCTGGTGGTATAATCAACAAAAATGTTTGATAATTTTTGCTAAAAAACTCAGAAGTTAGGCTCAATTTTGAACATAATTAAAATGTCCTGTTATCTGTTCGTTTTTTTTGGGGGAAATTTTTACAAGCATGATCATGGATTAGACTTTCCATTGGTCATGTAATTTTGATTATAATATTTTATATGACCCAATGCTATAGTGCATGAAATTGGTATAAAAGTATAAAAAGTAGTATGCGTTCATTGCCATATATAGTTCTAACTTGTATAGCTACAGAAGTGAGAAAAAAAGGAATGTCACTCAAGATCGAAACACTTTTTTTTCAGATTTAGTAATGCTGTTGTCCCAATGTCAAGCTGGCAGACACAAGGTATAAACAAGCCCTTGTCCCAGCCAACAAATGTTGAAAGAAATTTTAGAAGTTGGCATTTTATTTTATTGTTCTTTTTATGCATATGAAATCTTATTTAATTTTTGATAGTATAGAACTCTGGAAACAATGATGGAAACATATAAGAGTTGGCATCTAAACCCACGACATAAGGATTGGACAGGTAAGCAGGAAAACATTTACAGATAAGATTTATACATTTTCTTTTATTTATAAAAGGTTTCTGAATTAATTTGTATCTTTATATCATAATAAGTCAAACCTCTCAAGCTCGCTTTGATCAAGGAAAAAAGAGAGAGAAAAATGCACTGAACCAAACTTCTAAGTGTTGCATACAATAAATAATTTCTTTAATTCATGGTTAATGATGCCTATTTCAATTCGATGTTGGATAAATTTCATGTAAGTATCTTGTCAGAATTTTAAGCAAAGTGTCAAGGAAATGATGTACCCTCAAAATGAAAATTCACGTAAAATAATCTCTATGGAGTAAGACCATCACTCGCTCAAATTACTCTACCCCTGAATAGGAGATTGATCCATCTGATGCCACACCTACTGCCTAGATCTTTCTAAACCGTTGAAATTGTGTGGAGGGGGGGGGGGTTGGTATTCCTTTTAATAAACTAAATGTGTTCAATGGGATTCAGATCCGGAAATCTGGCAGTGCATCATCACACAGATTTGGTCTTTTGGTCAAAGCTGTTGATCACTAAATTTTCGCGATTGTCATTATTGTAAATTGTCATTTACTCTTTATTAGCGAGACTTTATTTTCACAAATTGTTGTTACTTCTCTATAAAATCTTAAGAAATACTATTATACGTGAGAATGACATTTTTGCAAGCTCACTGTCTTGCGTAATTACGCGAAAATAAAGTTCTCGGGAATAAAAAGTGATTTACCGTATCCTTGGACGTTTAGCACGTAAGTGTACTGCTTTAAGGATGATTCAGACCATCAGACTGATATAAGACTGCCACGAGCACCGAATCCTATCATTAAGATTTTCATATGATTGAATTTTTTAAAAATTGATAATGATCACAAAATATACTAATTACACAAAACACGTGTCGCAAAGTACAGATTTATTGTTTTTAAGCTTCGTCACTGGTTTTCATCGGTAATATTTGATTTTCTTTGAACAATTGTTGAGAAGAAATGAGTCTTTATAGAATGGTATCATACCATTCTATAAAGTTGTTTTTAAATAAATACAATAATTAGAGTTAACACTTAGAAGTTTTGTTAAGTGTATGAGGATTCGATATTAGGTGAGATTACTTAGAGATTAAGTGGTTGGGAATTTCACTTCAATATATCAATGGTGTTTGAGATTTTAGTACTGTGTGAGATACCGAAGTTCAGCTGTAATTTTAAAATAACTTGATAGCAGATTTGTCTTGCAAGAGAAATGCACAATTTTCTTTGCAGCTCACCTGAGCAAAAAAAGCTCAAGTAAGTTTTCTGATCAACTTGGCCAATTTTAACCAAACTTGCCAAAAAGCAGCTTTAGGTGAAAGGAATTCAAGTTTGTTCAAATGAAGGGACACCCCCTCATTCAAGGGGAGATACAATTCAGGAATAGTGAAAATTTGATGGCTGTCACAACAGCCGTCGTGCTCTGTTCAGTCAGACACAACAAGATTTTTTATCTATTTACAATTTGTTTATCTATAAATAAAATCAGTATAAACAATATTTACAACATTTTTACTGCTATTATTTACAATAAATACGACTTAATTCTCTATTAATGCATCATATCCTGGTGTTGGCTCAGCCACATCCACTCAGACACACCCCGTTTCACGACGGACTCCTGCCAACTGGCTCCCAGTGGGTATCCTGGTCTGGTTAAGGTTATCACCAAACACATATGGTAAAATTATATGAGGATTACATCAGGAATCTTTAAATTAAAATAACATTTACGAGTCAACATGTATACAGGAAATTTAAAAAAAAAATCTTTTCAAGAACCATTAAGACAGGAAAGATGAGACTCATGTGGAATCAGCATCTGGTAGTGTAGATTTAAATTTGTTCAAATCATGACCCCCAGGGGTTGAGGGTGGGGCCACAATGGCCGATCAAGTTTATGTAGGAAATAGGAAAAATCTTTAAAAATCTTCTTCTCAAGATCCATTGAGACTGAGGAAAGATGAAACTCATGTGGAATTATGCTCTGGTAGTGTAGATTCAAATTTCTTCAAATCATGACCCCCGGGGGTAGGGCAGGGCCACGATGGCCGATCAAAGTTTTACATAGGAATATATAGGAAAAATCTTTCAAAATCTTCTTATCAAGAACCATTGTGACAGGAAAAGTGAAACTGGTGTGAAATCAGCCTCAAGAAATATGATTCAAATTTGTTCAAATCATGACCCCCTGTGTTATAGTGGGGCCGCAATGGCTGATCAAAGTTTTACATAGGAATATATAGAAAAAATATTAAAAAATCTTCTCAAGATTCATTTAGACAGGAAAGATGAAACTCATGTGAAATCAGCCTCAGGTAGTGTAGATTCAAGTTTGTTCAAATCATGACCTCTGGGGGTAGGGTGGGGCCACAATGGCCAATCAAAGTTTTGCATAGGAACACGTAGGTATTAATCTTTTAAAATCTTCTTCTCATGTACTGCAAAAGCCATGATTAGTGATATTTATATGGAAGCATCCTCAGATAGTGTAGATTCTAGTTTGTTCAAATCATAACCCCGGGGGGTAGGGTGGGGCCACAATGGGGGGATCCAAATTTTGCATTAAAATATATTTTTAAAAAATGTTCTTCTCAAATAGCAAAGCCATGCTTAGTCATATTTATATAGAAGCATCGGACACGAGTAGTATAGAATTAAATTTATTCAAATCATAACCCCCAAGGGTAGGATGGGGTCTCAATGGTGGATTAAAGCATCTTCATGTATTGAAAATTTGTTCAAATCATGATCCTTTGGGGTAGGGAGGGAAACAATGGGGGAATCAAATTCAAATTATTATGAAGTAATATATACAAACAAAATGTAAAAAAAAAATCTTTAAACCCTTTTTCTCAAGAACAGCAAAGTTAAATGCTGTATTGATATGGAGGCATTCTCAAGTAGTATTAAAATTCAAGGCCCCCCCCCCCCCCCAAACTTTTCAATTCTGATCTGATTTGTGCTTTTTCCTAGCCAATGCGCTCAGGTGAGCAATGTGGCCCCTGGGCCTCTTGTCCAAATCATGATGGCAGGTGATGGGTAGGGAGTACAACAGACTCAAAGGGTTAAAAATGCCATAATTAATCAATACAAATATAAATACAAATATTTATTGGCACAAACACAATTACAATAATTGGCAAAGGCACATCATCAATTGTTCATCATATATAAACAATAATCTGGTATAGAATGTAAGGCTATACATAATCATAGATAAATTGTACATCATTTGTAAAATAATTATGTTATGCAGTCATTTCTAGATGTAATACATTTTTTAATAAATGAGTTTGTTATTTTCAGTACTTCTGGACAATGGCTATTAAAGCAAAGTTTAACTTTTTGAGTATTAGACATATTTAATGTTTTATCATGGAAAAAATTCATCAAATTCCTTTCAAAAGTTAACCTATGATTATTGTATTTATGGCAGATGAAGAGAAAATGAAATTCATCTTCAACCTCCCCTGTGTTACATATATTACAAATTCTTTTATCTGTGGGTATAGAAAAATGTCTTCCTTTTTCTATGGCAAGGTTATGGGCACTAAGTCTCAATCTGCTAATATTTGATCTGTCTGTTTTCTTTTTTAATATATCAGTGTATCCGCATCGCTTGAAATTATTAAAAACAACTTGATAAAATTTTAGTTTCGATGAATTATGAATCTTTGCATATTCCTCTTTAATCTGAGATTCCTCTGACTCTAACCCCTGCTTTTATATTGTGACTTGGGCAGTCCAAGTCACAATATAAAAGCAGGGGTCTTATGTTTTATTCTTTGTTTTATGCTTCTCAGAAGTGGTTTTATTGAATTTTCTTTTTTAGTAATGAATGAAAATTGTAACTTGTTGAAAAGTGAAAAAATATTTTTAGTCCATGAGTTTGTTTTGACTGTTGTTTTATAGATTTTAAATGCTAAAGTATTCTTGGAAGTAATAAGATGGTTCCAAAATTTTATACTTGAAAACTGTATTCTTGTCCACAGGGGTTGTCTACCTAAATCTGCTCTGCAAGGAGCATTAGTAGTTTTACAATATGTACTCCTAAAATTTCCTTAATAAACTTCAATTTTTCAATTATAGAATTTTCACCATTGTTATTATAAATACCCAAGATCTCAGAGCAATAAAGAAGAACTGGTGTTATAATTGAGTCAAAAAGTTTTTCCAAAAGTTTACGTGGATTATCCAAACCAATAGTTTTCTTTATTTAATCTTAAAATGTGCTTTTCTGGCCTTTTCCATAAGTACTGACATTGCTAAGTTTAGATTTCCATTGCATTTCAAAGTTAATCCAAGATAACAAAATTTTGAAACTGTTTGAAGGACATTTCCATTATATGTAAACTCATTCATGCAAAATTTACCATTTGAGTTAAAAATAAGAACTTTAGACTTCTCCACATTAACCTGTAGTTTCCAGTTAGAACAATATGTTTCAAGGATGTTCAAACAATTTTGTAACCCAGTTTTACTTTCAGATAATAAAACAATATCATCAGCATATAATAAGCAATTTACAGAGATTTCACCAATTTTAACAGGATCACAATTGCCCGTTTTAAGTTCATCAACAATACCATTAATAAAAATGTTAAAAAGAGATGGGCTTAAAATATCGCCTTGCTTAACATCACATTCAGATGTGAATGTTATACTGAGACCATTAGTAAACTTAATCTTAGTTTTTGTATTTTCATACATTGAAAATATAATATTGAACATATTGGTATGTATATTGGATTTCAGAAGTTTATAATAAAGTTCAACCCTCCATATAGTGTCAAAGGCTTTACGGAGATCAATGAAAGCCGCATAAACCTTTTGCTTTCTGTTTTTGTAATAATCGGTTATAGTCTTAATTGTAAAAATATGATCTGATGTTCTGCTTTTCTCTTTAAAACCAATTTGATTTTCACTAATAAGTGATGTGTCCTTAATAAAATCTAGCAATCTGAAATGAATAATCCTATTGAAAAGCTTTCCCAAGTTTGATGTTATAGATATACCTCTATAATTACAGGGATCAAGTTTGTTAACAGATTTAAGTAAGAGCACAAGAATACTTTCATTCCATAAAGTAGGAAATTGTCCCGAGTTTAAAATAAAGTTTAACAGTTTTTGTAGTGGTTTCAGTAATACACTGCCTCCATTTTTTAGCATTTCATTTGAAATAAGATCCATGGATATACTTTTACCTTGCTTTAGATTTTTTATGGCATTCATTATTTCGTGAGTTGTAATAGGGGGACTAACATCATTCTCTAGTTTCTGTTTTAAAACATTAAACTGTTCCGAAATGAATTTGTGGAAATCATTCTGATTGCTATTTGCAGTATTCAGTGTTTTGAAGTACTGGTAAAATATTTCACAGGGAAGATCCGGAGAGTTGTTATGCATATTCTGCATTTTATCTAGTTTGTTCAACATTTTCCAAAATGTTTTGGGATTTGTATCAAGATTGTTGTTAATTTCAAGACAAATTTTTTGTTTGTATGATTTTTCTTCATGTTTACATAGCCTTCTATATTTAGACCTATATGTGTAAAAGAGTTTTCTATATTGACCATTGAAAGGATATTGATTTACTAACTTTTCATATTGTTTTACTGTGTTTCGAAGATCAGTACATGACTCAGTAAACCATACATATGGAGGCATCCTTGGTTAGTGTAGATTCAAGTATTCAAGATTGCTCAAAACATAGTCCCCTTCCTTAGCCAGTGTTCAGGTGAGCAATGTGGCCTACGTGCCTCTTGTTTAAGAAAAAATCTTTAAAAATCTTCTTCTCAAGAACCATTGTTCCAATTATGTCCTCTGGATGTAGGGTGGGCCACAATAGGGAATCCTTGTAGCTTTAAATTGAAAATATATGGGAAAAATCTTTGAAAATCTTCTCAAGAAAAACTGGGCCAGAAAAGCTGAAACTTATGTGGAAACATCCTGGGGCAGAATTCAAAATAGTTCAAAGCATGACCCCCTGGGTTTAGGTCGGGTGATACAAGATTCACATTGAAATTTTTAGGAAAAATCTTTAAAAATCTTCTTCTCAAGAACCATTGGGCCAGAAAAGTTTAAAACTTAGTGTGGAAGCATCCGGGGGAAATGTAGATTCTAAATTGTTCAAATAATGACCTGTGGGGGCAGGGTGGGGCCACAATACGGAATCCAAGTGTTACATTGAAATATAAGGGGGGGGGGGGGGGGGGGAGAATTAAAATCTTCTTATGAACCTTAGGGTAAGAAGCATTCTGGGATAGTGTATGGTAAATCACTATATTTTCACAACATTTTATTTTTGCCAGAGAGCTATATTATTTATAAGCCAAACAAAATTTTCGCAAGTTACGTTTTTTGTTGTATATAATCGTTACCGATACACTTTTACACGAGAATGTATTTTTTGCGAGCAGACATAATTGCATGATAATGCAAAAATAAAGTTCTTGCGAATAAATAGTGATTTACAGTATATTTTAATTTGTCCCAATTATGAGCCCTGGGGGTAGGTTGGGGCCACAGTAAGTATTACAAGGGGGGAATCTGGTAAATAACAGCATGGCCATTGCTACTCAGGTGAGCAATGTGGCTCATGGGCCTCTTCTTTTTCTTATCTATAGTGCTCAGGTGAGCGATGTGGCCCCAAGGCAACTTTTTAATATTAGAAACATTTTCTCTTGCAGGTAAACATATGATTCTTGCTACAGGAGAGGTTAAACTAAGTGGTAAATCAAAAATTGTGTCAGTAAAATGTCACTACGATACAGTTGGAGGCCTGGCTAATAACATAGCTGATTGGACTTCCTTTTTCATTGTATGGTGGAGTGCCAAACATATGGCTAGTGATAAACCCAGGTGGCCTAAACCATCTGATGATTTCAAAATGATTGGAGGTAAGGAGATCATCATTTTTAACTCGGAATCTTCTGGTCAGAGACCAGAGGAGCTTATTATGCAATACAGTAAAACTCGCTTAGTATGAACTCGGATATTGTGAATTCACGGATATAGCAAAGTTAACTTGGATCCCCAGCTATATAGATTTAATGAATTCCTTATACTGATATAACTAATTACGGATATAGCGAAGTAACTTCATAGGTACCAGTTGAAAAGTTGGTCCAAATTACCTGAAAAGACCTCTGGTCACTACCAACAATCTTCCCGCCATTTGTATTCGCTCTTCAGCCTCCTGAGGAACGTAAAGTCTAAAGTGGTGACTAATCACCCAACACTGTCATTGTCTTGGGGGTGACTAATGACCCAAAACTGGTAACAAACTCCCCTTCTTCTTTTAAGAAAGAAAACTGCCATCTATCCCTGTGGCAGCAATATAACCAAAAGTCAACTAAATACTGTCTTTGCAAACTTAACATATATACACTATTTACAAAGTTTCCTGGAGATGCTTTACTGTCTCAAGCACTTGTTTACCCAAACACCATTTTGTAGTGCTTTGAGTAAATTCAGACATGATGCCCCTTTCTTTGTCAAACAGTCAGCCAGCTGATTTTCGCTCTCTATCCATTTTACGTCAGTGATTGTTTTTTGCTGGATCAACTCTCTAATACTGGTAATTTCCATTCTCAACCTTTTTTCTGAAACTTGCTTGGTCGATTCAATTGCATCTTGGAGAGAGTGACAGTCTGTTACACAAATAATGGGTAAGTTTGGTCCATTGGTCAATTCCCCATAAAGTGAAGCCAAGTACATTCCAGTGTCAATGGCATCAGCCATTGCTAGCGTCTCTGCCGCAACTGTTCTTCTTGCTACTCTCCTGATTCTTTTTGACTGCCAGGTTAAGGGTGAGAAGAGCCCATTAGATCCAAAGAGAGCAATAAAATGTCCACCTTGACTTCCTCCATCAGGCAAGTTCCCAAGGGACGCGTCACAAAATATCACAAGCTTCATATTGCTTTGCTGTCCAAGATTTTGAAATTTCAGGGTAACCTTCTCTGACTTGATTCTTCTGATGATCTTGTTTGCCTCAATCAAAGTCTGAACATTAGCCCTTTTGAAGTTCGAAGCTAGATTGGATGCATCAAAAATGACATCTGGTCGACTTTGTCGTGCTGTCCATAGTATCTGCCCAATTTTTGACTGAAGGCTTTCTTTTTCTGTTAATGTTAGTGCAGCCTCTCTATCTACAAGACGACTCTTATCAACAGGGATGAACTGAATGTTCTTCTGATAGTTATACTGGCTAAGTTCAATACCTTTCTCATGTTTGGACAATTCGATTCCTACATATGAAAAGGAACTGTTTTCATCACCATCTTCCTTTCCAACAAGAAAAGTTTTTCTTATTTCCTTGATCACCTTGTTCTCGAATTCCGCTGATCCTCCCCATAAGAAGTCATCTACATGACAAGCAAGGATGCCATCTACTCTTTGGTCACCATTCTTCCAAAAGAAAACTGCTGGATCAGATTTAGAAACCTCTGCACCACTGCCAATAAGCACTTCTTTGACCCTGTTGTACCAGCTTAGAGAAGCATCAGACAGCCCATACACACATTTACGCAGTTGCCATACTACACTTTTACAACCAGCTTCTGGTGGCGGCCTGACATAAATCTTGCGTCCAATTTCTGAACCTTGAAGAAATGCTGTCTTAATGTCCATAGTGTGAACGCTCCAGTTTCTCTGAGCCAATACAGTTAAGACAAGTCTGACAGAATCTGAACCACAAGTTGGCGAGTCTTTTGGAATGTCTTCTCTGTCTACTTCTTCAAATCCCCGAGCTACAAGTCTGGCTTTGTGTTTTATTCCTTCATCCGTGTCTTTGAGGCTACAAATCCACCTTGTTGAAATACATTTTTGGCCAATGTCCTTCTCCTCAACATGCACATTGTTGTTTTTCCAAGACAAAAGTTCCTTTCGTTTAGCTTGTTCGAAACACACATCAGTCAAGACCATCACGTCTTCACTATCACAAATCTCTAAATCCTGGACTTTTTCCATATCAACTGAAATTTTAGCTCCTTTGTGAGACTCTGGCTCCAAATAATGCAGGTTGTACCAATGTTTGTTGTTTCCCGTTGCTTTACCAGCTCATCCAATGACTTTTGCAACACAGCTTTCCCCATTCTGTGAATCTTGGTACTTGATAACTTGTCCTTTCCATTGTTGGTTATTGGTCTCATTATGTTCGCTGTCAACTCCACCAATCTGTTCATCCAAGTTATCTTGTTCCACTTCAGAGTCACTGTTTTCTTCTATGCAATTATCTCTTTCCTCCTGTTGTGCTATCACTTTGTCTCCTTTGGGTTCATCTGTAGTGTCTTCCATGACTGTGTTTGTTTTTCTGATTCTACACTGATGAACACGAACACAAATTCCACCATGTCTTACAAAGATAACTGAACCGTCTTGCCCTATAACTACACCTGGGCCTTTCCACTTTTCACTATCTGGCCGTTTGTAGTAAACCTGATCACCATTCTGGTACTGATCACCACTTGATCGTGTTTGTTTCCTCAATGCTCTTCGGATTCTTTCAGAACACTCGCTTTTTGTGAAAGCTGCTCTAGAGGAGTGTAGTGCCTCGATGTGTTTCCCAACCACTGTACTCATAGTAGTACCTTCCAGAGCTGGTGGTCTGTCGATTAGCACACTAGGAAGATTGGGGTTACGTCCATATACCAGTTGATACGGGCTAAAACCATGCACATTGTGTAGAGCATTTTTAGCCATAAGTGCCCAGTTTAATGCTGTCTCCCATTCACAGTCATTCTCAGCTCTTAATTTCTGGAGAATTTCAGTCAGAGTTCTATTATGACGCTCCAATAAACCATTACTCCATGGACTGTACGCAGCCGTCGTCTTCACTTCCATATTGAAATTTTCTGCCATGTCACGAACTTCTTCATTATTGAATTCACCGCCATTATCGCTATACAGACATTTTGGGGCTCCGTGTTTTGATAACCAACACTCAAAGAATTTTTTCACAAATTCTGATGACTTTTTTGATTTCATGATGCTCCCGGCACTAAAACGAGTGAATTCATCGATGACATGCAAGTACCACAGTCCTGGTTCCAATTCGTGAAGGTCCACAGCTTCAGTCTCATTGAAGTCTGTTGCTAACGGCAATCCTACAACAGGTCTCGCTACTGGTCTTTTGTACTTAACGCAAGTTTCACAACTTTCACATACAGACTGTAATGACTCCATCGTTTCTTAGTCCGTTGTCCCAGCACTTTTCAATAACTGAGCCAGTCTTTCTTGCGTTGCATGTCCAAACTGTTTGTGGAGCTTCATCACTACTTTTTTCTTTTTAGCTTTGTTCATGTTTTCTGTGACTTCTAGAATTTCCTCTTTCAATGAGCTGTCCTCGTTTGTAGACGAATCTTTCAGAATTCTTACACAGTAATGTCCACTTGTAGTGAATTCCAGATTAAACATACTTGCTCTGTCATTTTTTAAGTCCAGAACTGTTTCTGCCTTTTTCAGTGATGATTTACTCAATAAAAGAGGGATGTCAGCTTTTACAACTTCTGTTTCTATGTTGCATTTTGTTTTCCCAATGACAGCTGGTATTGTGGCGCGTTGGAACGAGTAGACTATTTTTCCATCTCCAAACTTGAATGCCTGACGACTTGTGACTATTGGTATTTTCTCATGCGTTTCCTTACAAAACAAATCAAACCATTTCTCTCCACACACTGTACGGGTGCAAGCTGTATCAATGACTGCCGCTCCTAAAGTCTCTAAGATGAAAATCTCATTCATCGTTGGTTGATCTTTAGTAAGTAAAGTAACATTGCAATCCTCAACCGTGTCCGAGTCACATTCTGCCAACTGCACAGAAGCTCTTTTCTCTGGACGGTCTTTTGCCCAGTGAAACACACTCTGACATATTGCACACTTAGTTCTTTTACCAAACTTGTTTAGGGGATTTGTCCCTTTTTGCTTGTTGTTTAGTTTCTTCTGTTGTGTGAAAAATACAGGCTCTTGTTTAATCGTAATGACTGGGTTATCAGTTTTCACATCTGAACTAGAACTCACACTTTCACCAAAAATCCTTTGTAATGCCGACTTCATAGCTTTGTACTTGAGGTCTGTGCATGCAGTTAATGCTAACTGTCTTTCTTGTATCGAAAGTCCTGCATTGTCCAAGATTTTAAAGGCAAGAACTGCCTCAGGGAGTGCCATGTCAAATTTTTTGGCCTTGTTGTATAGTTTATCAAACTCAACAATGTAGTCAGATATTTGCATATTTTCTGTTCTCTTAAACACATCAAAGTTTTTATAGGCCTCATATGCCTTGTCTTTATCATCTCGAAGAAAAACTTTATCTAATTGTGTCATTAGTTTCTTCATACCGTCTTCTTTTCCTAATTCCTCCACTGGAAGCTCCATTGCTGTTTCTCTAGCATTTCCAGTCAGGGACAATGACACAGCCAGGGCTCGTTTTTCTTTCTACCAGTTGCCACACTGCAACTTCGTTTTTCCATGTTTCATAGGTCATGATCAAATGCTGGAGGGTTCTTGAAGCTATTAGCCATGTTTTTTTTCTCTGCTTACACGCTCTGCTACCATGAAAAGTTGGTCCAAATTACCTGAAAAGACCTCTGGTCACTACCAACAATCTTCCCGCCATTTGTATTCGCTCTTCAGCCTCCTGAGGAACGTAAAGTCTAAAGTGGTGACTAATCACCCAACACTGTCATTGTCTTGGGGGTGACTAATGACCCAAAACTGGTAACACCAGTGACTTCATTATAACCGAGTTTTACTGTAGTCATGTAATTGTCATCTGTCTGTCTAGCTGTCTGTCCATCCATCTGTAAACTTTTCACAGTTTAACTTCTTCTCAAGAGCCATTAGGCCAATTTTCACCAAATTCCAAATTATATTCTCTCGTTGAGTATAACCTGGTTTGGGTTAGTATACGCTTTGTAATCCGGGGGGCGCAAAGTTTCATTAAATATGTAAATAAAACAAAGAGTGGTCAGCTTTTTATTAGCTCACCTGAGTTGAAAGCTTAATGAGCTTTTCTAATCACCTGTCTGTCATTCATCTGCCTATCTTTAAACTTTTCACATTTTCAACTTAAATTCTTCTACTCGGATAAAGAACCACTTGTGGGCCAATTTTACCATAAATTTTCTGAAAGCAATGCAGATTTTGTAGCAATTTGGGCTATATTGACTGTTGATATCAGACTTGATATCTTAGTGGTAGAGGACCTGACCAGTAATGCAGGATACTTAGGTTTGATTCTTGATCCAGCCATGTGTTTTCTTTATGCATACTCCAATCCAACCATACATTTTGTGACCAGTAGAGGGGGGGGGGGGGGGCTTGTTCAGGTTATTTGTAAATTGTGTATACTATAATTCCAGACAGGGCCTGAGAAATAGTGTCTTCAAGGTTGAAGACTGTTTGAGGAAGGAGAATTGTAGCAGTTCAGATCCACGGATCTCAATGTATATTTTCATATTTTCAGTATTAAGGTAGTCCAATCCTCAGGTTTATAAAATTAGCAATTAAGTAATCAAAAATACTTATAAAAGTATCTCTGAATCCACAAAGTTATGTAAATTTATGCACAGTATTTCTTTAAAGTTAAAGATTAAATTTAATCATATTACTGTAAATGTATTATATTTAGCGTGTACGATATTTAGCGGAAAGTGGTTTTTAAACAAGTTAGCGTTGATTTGATTTAGCGCATTTCTTGATATTCTTATTTATGTATCATTGTTTAAGACATTTAGCGATGTACTTGAATTAGCGGAAGTATCTTTCCGCCAAAAGCGCTGAAAAGAATACACCGCCAAATGTAATATGTTTACAGTATATAGGGAAAATTGTCAGATCTCCAATATTTTTGCAGAAAAAGCGAATTGAGATACATGTATCTATGGCACGCCAAATTCACAAAAATGAGATAAACCTAGTTTCACAATTGATAAACTAGGTTTATCGACTGTAAACTATAGTTTACAAACCGTAAACTATAGTTAAAGATTCGTTAAGTATAGTTAACGATTTGTTAAGTATAGTTTTCATCTGTAAAACTATATTTAACGAATGTTAACTATAGTTTACGAATGATTATCTAAGTTTATCTGTCTGTAATTAAAGGTTAACAATAGATTTTGTTGATAAACATAGATTCACATTTGTAAACTATAGTTTACAATCGTAAACTATAGTTAAGAGTTGTTCATCATAGTTTCACAAATCATGAAACTATATTTATCAGATCGTTAACTATAGTTAACTATAGTTTACAAATCGTGAAACTGTATTTATCAGATAATCTATGTTTTGCAATCGCAAATGATTGTTTTCGGTGTTAAGTATTGTTTACGGCTGTGAAACATAGATTATTGCGTTAACTATGGTTTACAGATGTAAAATATAGATTAACGTTGTTAACTATAGTTTACAGTCCGTAAACTATAGTTTACAACCGATAAACCTAGTTTATCGACTGTGAAACTATGATTATCTCATTTTTGTGAATTTGGTGTGCCATATGTATCAGCAATGCATTTTCTAATTGCAAATTGATCAACAAATATATATTAGGTTAAAAAACGATAGGTATCCAGGCACTCAGAGAAATTGTCATTATTTTTATACTTATTTGGTATTTTTTGTCTTCTATTTTCGTCATGTATTCTATAATGCATAGTGTAAAAGGCTTTTGCTATTATTGCAAGACACCACAAATCACTTCTCATTTCATATCTAAGGCTGGATTCAAGAAAACCTTATTTCTTTAAAACTGTATATTTTTTTTCTCCTTTTATAGGGTACAAATGTAAACTTTTATATAACCTTTTCTAAGACTTCCAAAGACCTTGAATCTTATAAAGATGAATAAAATGAAAATTGTTGCATGAAAAAATTTCATTTTCAAGCTTCGTTTTGATGCATTTCAAATTTAATATTAATTTTTGGAGTTATCCTTCCTGGCTGAGGATCGGATATCCTTAAAATACATGTAAAAGTTTGTGTGGTAATTGAATATCATAGTCTCAAAGTACAATATCATGAACTGATAAACATATATAAAAATATAAATGCTAATCATCAAACTCTGGTATCTCAAAATTCAAAATTTATAAATTAAATTGAACTGCCGGGGGTATTTTTTGCAAAGAATGTCAAAGGTCAAGGTCGAGTGGATTATAATGCTGGACATGTTTTATGACAAACAATGCACATATGCTACATAGCATAGTTTTACTTCTTCAATATAAGAATATGCTGTATATCAGTACTAAGAAATAAAATTTTGAAAAGTAGGTCAAATGTTAAGGTCAAGAGTCACAAGATTGATAATCATAAAATTTTTAAAAGCTACAGTGCCAAGCAATATTAGTGCAAAATATCAAATCCATCACTCTTACAGTTTTCAAAATATACTAGGATGTGACAGACAGAAAGACTGGCAGCCAGATGCCATGTAAAGTGATATCATTTGGGACCAATGTATTAAATTAGTTTAATTGTCTGTATTGCAGGTGCAGGGTATCTGGATTATGATAAAATGGGTTTAACTAACATAAGATGGCAACCCAGGAGAGATCTTATAAAAGAAGTTAAGCCTCATATATTGTGTGCTGCAGAAAATCAGGGTGGAGACCATAAATTAGAAAAAATGCATAAATGTGAGTGTGTATTTTTAAGCCATTCATTGATTCTAATAAATATATACTATTACCACTTTTAAAAAATAAATGCAAAAAGAAATAATGAGGCACATTTCTAAGCTTTAAAGCAAAAATTTGTAAAAACATGGTGAATTTTTTTTTGCTCACCTGAGCTGAAGGCTGAAGTGAACTTTTCTGATTAAAATTTGTCCATTGTCTGTTGTTGTTGTCGCCGTCGTCGTAAACTTTTCACATTTTTCCTCTTCATCTCAAGAACTAAAGGGCCAATTTCAACCAAACTTGCCATAAAGTATCCTTGGATAAAGGGGATTCAAGTTTATTCAAATGAAGGGTAGCCCTCTTCCAGGGGGAGATACTAACAAATAACTGAAAAAAAAGTGGCATCTTTTAAAAATTAATATCTTCTTCTCAAGAACCACTGGTCCAGGAAAGATGAAACTCATGTGGACACAAACTTTGGTGGTGTAGATTCAAGTTTAGGAAAACAGGAAAATTTCTTTAAAAATCTTATTCTAAAGAACCACTGGGCCTGGAAAGATAAAACTCACATGGAAGCATCCTCAGGTAGTGTAGATTCAAGTTTGTTCAAAACTAGGGCTGTGTATTGAGCTAAAAATTTCGATACGATACAATATTTTTTAAAGCGATATGTGATATATTGGATTTTAAAACAAGTCCATCAAAAAAGGCATATTAATCATTTAATGCATGGATTTCATAAAAAAATTTAGTGTTTTATTACCCATTTCAAAGTTCTTATCCCATAGCCAGTAAATAAAACACTTCCAATCGAAACTTTTAATGACTGTAAAATCAACATGTTAAAATGAAATTGTTATGTAATTTATAATAGCAATAAAAACTGTTTTATTTCTTTTATAAATCTATAATTATTGATAAGTTTTAATTTAAAAAAGTTAAATTTAATCTCTGCTGATTAAAATTCTCATCTTTTTAGCAGAATTAGAAGAAAAACTGCATATCCAATACACATTGGAAGTAATTTTTCGATATGATATTTTTCTTGAATATCGATACGTATCGATACATCGATATATTGATACGGTGAGCCCTATTCAAAACATAGGAAAAATCTTTAAAAATCTTCTTCTCGAGAATCACTGGGCCAGTAAAGATGAAACTCGAACATGTGGAAGCATCCTCAGGTAGTGTAGATTCAAGTATGTTCAAATCATGACCCCAGGGTGTTGGGTGGGGCCACAATGGGGTATTAAAGTTTAACATAGGTTGGAAAAATCTTTAAAAATGTTCTTCTCAAGAACAGCAAAGGCATTGGTCATAGTTTTATTGAAGCATCCTCTTGTAGTGTAGATTCAAATTTTTTCCAGTCATGACCCCTAGGGCAAGGGTGGGGCCATAATGGGTGATCAAAGTTTTAAGAAGGATTACATAGAAAAAATTCTTTAAAATTTCTTCTTCTCAAGAACAGCAAAGCTATGATTGTTCATATTTATATGGAAGCATTGTTGGGTAGTATAGATTCAAGTTTGTTCAAATCATGACCTCCAGTGGTAGAATGGGGCCACAATTAGTGATCAAGGTTTTAGGTAGGAATACATATGAAAAATGGTTAAAATTCTTCACAAGAACAACAAAGTCATGACTGAACATCAATATAAAAGCATCAAAAAAGGTAATGTTGATTTAAATTTGTTCAAATGAGGACCAACCAGGAGAACAGAGGAGCCAGTGAATCATAGTTAATATACATGTACAAAGTAATATAAAGGTTATATCAATAAAAATTCTCATCTTACAAACAGCAAAACCTTTATGTATCATACTAATTTTAAAGCATCTGTAGGAAATATAGATTTAAGTTTGTTTGAAACCCAGCCCCCCCCCCCCCTCCTCCCCTGAACCTACTTTTATATTTAAACTTTAATTTCAATACTGAGCTATTTTTTGCTTTTACCTAGCCAGTTGTGCAATGTGGCCCCTGGGCCTCTTGTTTTAATATCATTTCAAACATTCTGACTTGAGTCTGTTCTTGTTTTATTGCCTGGGAGCCAGGTTGAAGAAAAAATTGTATACATGTAAATTAATCTTTTCTAATGTAAACTCCTTTTCTATAAAGAACTATATTTTATATTGCATCTGTTTGGAAATAAGTCAAATTTTGAAAACTTCCCCCCCCCCCCCCCTGAATTCAATAAATTTAAACTTTAATATAATAAACAGAAAATATTTTAGTTCCAGAGCAGTGTATTCACAATTTCTGTTTTAATATCATTTCACAAACTAGTCCGATTTTATATCCTTTTTCATTGAGGACAAAATGGACAAAATTTCAACAATTTAATCTTTTCTTTATAGAGCGCATGTGTGTTCAGGAACAATATTGACATATTTCATTGATATTATCATTCTACACATTATATCAAAATATTAATCCTGAACACACATGCGCTCGGTGACTTTAATTTAAAATATCGACGAAATATGTACATTTTTCTGCAAAATTCATAAAAAACTGAAATTTACGTCATATTTGTGACGTCATTACGTACATATGACGTCATTACTTATGAAATTATTCAGTGCTTTGAAGTCAGCATATACTCCCCTGTTTAAGGACTTAATTAAATATTACTCCATCAAAGTCTGATTTTGGGGGGCAAATGCTGGTTAATACCGCATATAGTTCTTTAAGTCAATTGTTTAAGACAGATCAAATGCTGTCTAATCCAGAATGGTGTCTAATCTGGCCTGACTTTCTGTGGGGGCAGTGATATCAGGATTAGACAAGTTGTAGTATTGTAGTAATAATAAATATTTGCAAACAGTAAAATCTACCTGTGACGTCATGTCTGTTTGAGCGCTCCATAATATTTTTCAGGAATGGAGAAAATTTAATTCTCGCGTATAATCGAATTCCTTAAGATTATATAGAGCAGTGACCACAATTCATGAAAATTATGTCTCGCTAATAAAGAGTCAATGACTATCAAATTACTTTGTGATCTACAGTACTTTGAAAACAGAATTTGTTATGTTCTTTTTCTCCTTTTCGGGCCTCTGTTGAGGAAAGAACTTACTAGAAAATTTATAGCAATTAAGTTTGTTTTCACACATAAAGAAAAGAAATGTGCCACTGCATGATGAGAAGCAAACTTGGTACCTTCACCTTGTTGATTGGGTACTAATCTCACTGTGCTATCAAAGCTAATGAAATTCAATTATTTTAAATAAATCAGTACAATACTTATACATGTACATATTATGTACACTGTAAACCAACTATTACTTGTGTCATCTTTTGCGATTCGTCAGTTTAAAATCAATCTACAGCAATGAATTTTTGAGAATGAGGAATACCAGATTCCTTCTCTTCTAAAACAAAGTGAAATAAGTGCTTCGCAGCGATTAATATTTGCGATTTAAAGTTGGTTGCGAAACTCATGAATATTTCTCACACATGAATAAACTTAATTCATTAACAGTATTTACAGTGTATCTTATATCAAAATATTCTTTATTATGTATTTACAATAAAAATACAAGCATTTAAAAAGGTGGATTTTACCTGCTACTCATACATTAACTTTTACATAATTTTAAGAATGCTTTGACCATTATTACAGGGAGAACTGATTATCTGCAAATGTACTTCATAATGGATAAGTGTGACTCTCCTGGCCAATTTCGATGTGAGGCTTTAGTAAAGGTTAGAGGAAGAAACGATTTTATAGGACATCCTGTCTATGCTTATTTTAATGCAGATAAAGCTAAGGATGGAGGAGTAAGTTCAAAATGTATGTTCATGTATTCATGTTGTACTCTCTTTATTTTATTGCATTATTTACTATTTAAGGTACATTGATACTCTGATGAGAGAGATAACTCTTAAAAGAAGAGACGTCTATTATTCCTTTATAAATTTGTCAAGTTTAAGTGCCTTTTTTGTCAAATTTTGCCCCGCAAGCCATGCTATAATTGTTTGTATTTTATTCAGCATATATATATTTTTTTGGAGAAACATAAAAGTTAAAGAAAAATTTCATATGAGTGAGCAGAGGGTTTATGAGCCTTAAAAGTGCATGGCTTTCATTTTTTTCTCTTCATTTTTTAGCTCTACTGGTCAGAGACCAGAGGAGCTATTTCGATAGTATTATGAGGGTCAGTTGTCCATCTGTCTGTCTGTCTGTTAAAATAAAAACAATTCTTCAAATGCTGTTCCTCCTATAGTTTTGGTCTGATAACAGATTTCAATATGACTTGGCACACAAGTAGAATACACCTAAGGATCCATAATTCTGTGTTTTTATTTTGATGAATGGTGTTGCAGTGGTTACTATTTAAAAATAAAAATATATTAAAATGCAACTCCTAATATTATGGTCTGATTTTAATATAATGTGGTAGACAAGTAGACTACTCTTAGATACATCATTGTCTTAATTACAAAACAAAGAAAAGCTGGAGACCTGAACACCTTGAGGTTAAAATTGCGGAAGTTTCTTACATGTGGATACCGAAAGTTATTCAATAGGGTGACTGTAACTAAAATTGTAAAAAAATAAAACCGATCACCAACACTTCGTGAGAATGCAGCAGTAAATTTATTTTGTTGACCGGTTTCAACCTGTGACGGTCTTCATAAGAACAATCAAGCAAAAGACAATTGAAGTAAAAAAAAACAACTAAACCTCCCAATTTTTTTTTCCATTGTGACGTCACAGTCTACTGAAACAGCTTGAACTGCCACTATGTTGATGCAACAGAAGAACAACAATCCACAGGTTTTATGAACAATTTTATTAAGGCCATTCCAAGTTTTTTCTATGTTTAGTGTCCGCACCTTGAGGTTTTGTCATTTCCGGCAATATCTCTAAACATTTGTATAAAATTTTATTATTGTATTAGTTTCAGTATTTAATACATTGATTTTGCTGAAGAAAATAACTTTCTTTATGAAAAATAGATAAATGAAATCATATCTTTTGAATTACATCATTCTTATTACTATAAAGTATGTGTTTTATTTTTTTTTTACTTGTATGTTTTTTGCGAATAGGTAGATAGGTTTTTGAAAGATGGGTGGACGCTAAACAAAGAAAAAACTTGGAATGGCCTAATCATAAAACAATTATTTTATTTACTTACTAAATCTTAAGTCAGAAAAACTTTAGAGGAAACATAAATTGATGATATCTAGTATAAAGTACCATTGTTATGTCTGCATTTTATTTTGTTTATTATAAGCATCATCATCTGCATTTTTTACTTCAATAGATAAATTTACATGCTTGATTGTTCTGATGATGACCGTCACAGGTCTTAAATTTACTGCTGCATTCTTGAAGTGTTGGTGATCTTTTTTATTTTTTAAAATTGTCTTACCCCGGTAATTGCTTTTTTAGCTCACCTGAGCTGAAAGCTCAAGTAGCTTTTCTGATCACATTTTGTCCGGCGTCCATCTGTCTGTCTGTCTGTCTGTAAACTTTTCACATTTTCGACTTCTTCTCAAGAACCGCTGGGCCAATTTCAACCAAACTTGCCACAAAGTATCCTTGGGTGAAGGGGATTCAAGTTTGTTAATATGAAGGGCCACGCCCTCATTCAAGGGGAGATAATTGGGAATTAATGAAAATTTGGTGGCATATTTTAAAAATCTTCTTGTCAAGAACCACTGGGCCAGGAAAGATGAAACTTATGGGGAAACATCCTCAGGTAGTGTAGATTCAAGTTTGTTCAAATCATGACCCCTCGGGGTAGGGCGGGGCCAAAATGGCCAACCAAAGTTTTACATAGAAATATATAGGAAAATTCTTTAAAAATCTTCTTCTCAAGAATGACAAAGCCATAATTCATCATATTTATATGGAAGCATGCTCAAGTGTAGATTCAAGTTTGTTCAAATCAAAGCCATAATTTTACATAGAAATATATAGAAAAATTCTTTAAACATCTTCTTCTCAAGAATGTCAAAGCCATAATTCATAATATTTATATGGAAGCATGCTCAGGTAGTGTAGATTCAAGTTTGTTCAAATCATGACCCCCGGGGGTAGGGCGGGGCCAAAATGGCCGTCCAAAGTTTTACATAGAAATATATAGGAAAATTCTTTAAAAATCTTCTTCTCAAGAATGACAAAGCCATAATTCATCATATTTATATGGAAGCATGCTCAGGTAGTGTAGATTCAAGTTTGTTCAAATCATGACCCCTGGGGTAGGGTGGGGCCAAAATGGCCGCCCAAAGTTTTACATAGAAATATATAGGAAAATTCTTTAAAAATCTTCTTCTCAAGAATGACAAGGCCATAATTCATCATATTTCTATGGAAGCATGCTCAGGTAGTGAAGATTCAAGTTTGTTCAAATTATGACCCCCGGGGGTAGGGCGGGGCCAAAATGGCCGACCAAAGTTTTACATAGAAAGATATAGGAAAATTCTTAAAACATCTTCTTTTCAAGAATGACAAAGCTATAATTCATCATATTTATATGGAAGCATGCTCAGGTGTAGATTCAAATTTGTTCAAATCATGACCCCCAGGGGTAGGGTGGGGCAAAAATGGCCGACCAAAGTTCTTAAAGATATATATAGGAAAATTCTTTAAAAATCAATTTCTAAAAAATAGCAAATCCATGATTGGTCATGGGACTACTTTTGGATTTAAACTTTACAATAAAAAGCCATTTTCTACTTTTTCCTACCCTTAGTGCTCAGGTGAGCGATGTGGCCCATGGGCCTCTTGTTTTATTTTAATGAATGATGTTGCCATGATAACTAAAATTGAAATTTCTATAATAGTTTTTAAAAGGCTACTCCTACAGTTATAGCCTTATTGCAATCTAAAATATAATACCACAGAGACTAAAAGAGACTAAATCAGGCCAAGCTTAAAAAATTCATTGTTTGCAGTTGCCGACCTAGACTGGGTAGGTAGGTAGGCATTCTTTTCTCTTTTTTTTGAAATTTTTTTTTTCATTCTTTGTGTAAGATAACAAAAAGTAGATCTTTTCAAAGGCCTTCTAAACAGGAATAAGTTCCACTCTTTTTATTAACCACTGATTGATAAAAACAAAAGTCAAAAATTCAAAGTAAAACAGTTTCAATATCCTGAAAAATTGAAAAAAAATAATTTTACAAAATGGCTAAAAAAAAGTTTGGGTTGGGTGCATTTTCAGTGGGTCAGTAGGCAACAGTGTAAACAAATAAATTTTTATTTTAGGACTCAAGGATCATTATTTTTTTCTTGGGTTGTTGCAAAATTTCAAATCCAACAGCTACTTTTCTCTTCCTTTGTTATAAGTACAAACCAGTAGAGCTACAATCTTGACAGAGACTTCTGGTATAAAATAATACTATGCCTATACATGTATTTTTTAGACCAGGTAATAACATGGTATTTCCCATCTGTCTGTCTGTTAGCTTTTTACATACTAGCACATATCTTTTATATTATTAGGCCCAGGACCATCAAACCTTTCAGGTGATGTGTCTGGGAGGAAGATGACTCATATTCCAAAAGTAGATCACAGTAGTAGTAGTAGTAGTAGCAGTAGCAGCAGCAGTAGTAGTAGTAGTAGTAGTACAAGACAAATTGTGTCCAGATGATGTTTGAAACTTAGAATCATAAAACTTCAGTTGCTGCATCTTGGTGTACATGCAGGGATGCCGGGGTGTTATAGAACTGACACATTCACATTTGTAATTGTCCCCGCTTGAAAAGTGGGGGATATTAATTTGGGTCTGTCCGTCCGTCCATCTGTCTTTCTGTCTGTCTGTAACACTTTCGTTTCTACACGATATCTCGAGAACCCTTTGAGCTTTCGCAATGAAATTTTGCATAGCAACTCCCTATGGACTAAAGAAGAACCCTATTGATTTTGATGTCATAAAGTCAAAGTTCAAGGTCATAAATTTATACATTCTGTCTGTATGAAACACTATCATTTCCGGGCGATATTTCAAGAAGATTTTGAGCTTTTGCAATGTAATTTTATACCAAAGTAAACTCCCTAGGACCTCTCTCAAACCCTCTCAAAGTGTCCTGCCCCTTTTGTTTTATTAGTATTTATTGTATTACATGTTGCTATTTTTAGCACAGGGGCATGAGGAGAGTTATTACATATAAAACAGGTTCTCGATGGACTTTATATTCTGATTACATCTATTAGAACTGTTTAATAAAGGTTAAATTAGACACCACACATTGTATAAAATTTTGACAATATCGAACGTAAATATATACATGTATGTGACTTCATGTTTGCATATAATTTTCGCAAGTATAAAGCTGCTCCGTGGCCTAGTGGTATGTCTCTCGCTTCACATGTGCGAGGGCCCAGGTTCGCATTCTGGACGATCCATTTTTTTTTTTCAAAATACTTTTTTTTTTTACTAAATGATAGTATTCAGCGTGTGAAATGAAAAATTTGTGAGGTCTGGCTTGTACAAAGTCATAAAATCATAAATACAGTGTGATGAATATTCCATATAAAAAGAATCTTCTATATACCCATAATAAAGAATAAGCAACCAAACCTTTGTATCCATATTGGCATATTTTAATTATTTGCTTCAGTATACATGTATACATTTAATAATTCTACAAATTCAGTCAAGGGGGTCCGACCCCCCACCCCTCCCCCAGAACTGGGCATGGTTTACTTTTTCCCTAAGTGGGGGACACAAATTCTCTGAATTACATGTAGCTTGTTTTATAGGTGATAAACAAAAGAAAAATGAAAATGAGGAGAAACAGTACCTCCAACTTTTGGTATGTTTATTTGTTGAATCATTCAACATTCTAGAAAAAAGTTGAAATTCTTCACTATGTTTATGTTTGTTTAATCTTGAACATTATTTGTGTTTTATGCAGGACACTCTGCCAGACCTCTACTTGGAATCTGCAAGATTGTCTTATATTGCATCAGGTTATATATCTGAATTAAAATACACTCAACCACAGCCTAAGAGATAAATAATGTATAATAATGTTCAAGAAATCAATTGTTCTAAAACTGAAAATTTTTTCAAAGGATTACAAAAACAATACATGTACTAGTATCTATTTCTTTTCAGTTTCAAAACAAAGATCATCAAAGAGTAGGGGTATGTGTGCTGAATTGTTTTGTCCTTACCACATTTAATTGGTCTGAAAATTTAATGTTGGTCATTTCCTGGTCATAACATTTTCCCATATTTTTTTTTAGAAAGTTGCATATTGTACAAAAAATTTTATTTGTAGGCAAAGTTGTTGGGTTATTCCCCAACATTGATCTCTTACATGCATGCCTTGCATGGATTTTAAACCTTTTTGCAAAAACTTTAACCTTTGCCTTAACTTTTGATATTAGGGCTTTTATATTTCACATGTATATTTCATGTACTAAGACCTTTCCTTGGGCATCAACACTTGACCTTGAATTTTGTCTTACTTTTAAAAATATTAACCTTAATCATATGTTTTGAATGATCAGAGTTCTGGATTTCTATCATACAAGTGCATTCATTTTGAAAAGACCTCTCCTATGGCATCAACAATTTTGACCTTTACCTTGGAGTTTGCTTCATTTAAATTAAAACCTTTAACCTTGGCAATAACTTTTGAATAACCATAGAACTATGGCTTTCATTAAATTACACATGTGCATTTCCTGTAAAAGGTCTTTCCTTTGGTTTTGAAAAACTGTAGCATATATTTCACAGATATGATTCTTGTGACAAGACATTTTTAGCTCTACTGGTCAGAGACCAGAAGAGCTTATGCGATAGTAATGCGTGCGTCGTCCGTCCGTCTAGCTGTCTGTCCATCTGTCTGTCTGTCTGTCTTTAAACAATTTTTCAAAATGCTACTCCTCCTACAGTTTAGGTCTGATTTCAATATAACTTGGCACACAAGTAGACTACACTAAGATACATAATTTTATGCCTAGGTTTTTGATTTCGATGAATGGTGTTGCCATGGTTACTAAAAATAGAAATTTCTGTGAAATGCTTTCAAAATGCTACTCCTCCTAGAGTTTTGGTCCGATTTCAATATAACATGATACACAAGTATACTACACTAAGATACATAATTCTGTGCATCTGTTTTTGATTTCGATGAACGGTGTTGCCATGGTTACTAAAAATAGAAATTTCTGCGAATTTCTTTCAAAATGCTACTCTTCCTATAGTTTTGGTCCGATTTCAATATAACTCGGCACACAAGTACACTATACTAAGATACATAATTCTGTGCATCAGTTTTTATTTTGACGAGTGGCAAGGATCATTTTTCTATTTATTGCTGTTTTAAAGTTTCAAGCCATGTTTACTTCTCTTCCTTTGTTTTAAGTATAAACCAGTAGAGCTACGGTCTCGACAGAGACTTCTGGTTTGACCTGACTTTAAGCTTTGAGTTCAGTTTGCATTTGTGGAATTAGAACCTTTGCCAAAAGCTGTCATATAGGGGAATAAGTGTTTCACAAACATATTTTTCATTAGTAATGAGGGACTGTAATTAAGGATATATGATCCTCAGCCAGGAAGGATAACTTTTTAATTTATAATTTAATTCAAAAGATCTTAAAATAAAGCTTGAAATTGAAATTTTTTCATGCAAAAATTTTCATTTTATGCCTCTACGTATGATTCAATGTTCTTTAAAGTTTTAACAAACGGTATTTAGAAATTTGACATTTGTACCTCATAAAATGAAGTAAAACTTGCATATTTAAAAAAAATCAAATTTCTTTTAATTTAGCCTTAGTTACCAATGTTTCTATGCATGATTTGAAATTAGAAGTGATTTACAGCATTTTCTTTGGAAGGAAACACGTCATACACTATGTATTATGAAATAATGGAAGTAAGTAGGTGAAAGTAAAGTCCAAATAAGTGTAAAATTCATGCAATTTTCTTTAAAAGCCTGGATACCTATGATTTTTATTCCTAAAATGTATTTCTTGATCAATTATCAATTAAAGAATATGCAGTAGGTAGTTCAAATCGCATTTCCTGAAAAATTATTGGAGATTTACTAATTTTCCCTATATAATATGATTAAATTTAAAGAAGACTTTTAAAGAAACACCGTGGGTAAATACATTTTAATTTGAGAATTTAGAGACATCTTTGTGAGCATTTTCAATTACTCAATGCCTGATTTTCAGAACCTGAGGATCGGATAACCTTAAGGCACACTGAAGGCATTTTTTAAGTGAGAAGTGATGACTTGCAGGAACTGGATAGGAAAAGGGTCTTGCTTTTACTGAGTGTAAATTTGGCCATGGTGATAAAAAAAGACTGGCTAACTTTATATTGTGTTAACCTCATATACCCTTCTTCCCTGGAAATACAATATCAGCAGATGGAAAATATTGTTGAAATTTATTGCTGGAATAAGTGTTTGAAGTTTTTCCTTCCTCTGGGTGTTTCAGGAAAGATCTTTTGAAAAAACTGAGGTCCCATGTCATGATAGGCCTTGGCACAATGAAGATCTCTCAGTGCTTCAGCTATTAACACCATATGAATGCGTACATTGACTAGGACAAATACTTGTGCAGGTGACATCTCTACATGAGGGAAAACATTCTTGGATAGGAAAATTAACAACATACAATCAGTCAATTAACCTTGAGAATAACGATTGAAGCCAAAGGTTAAACTAACTAAAGTTAATGTTGATGCACTAGCTAGACAGGGCTTCTGATTTCATATATCTTGAACCAAGTAAATTGGTCATAAAGTGAAGTGGATGAAAGATAATTAAGATGCAACATTAACATTTCTTACACAATGAAATATTTAGGACCCCCCCCCCCCCTTTCATATATTGATCATATATACACATAAACAATACATTAACCATCCAATGTGAATTATTTTTCAAAATTGATCATCAGAGTAATGTTATGACATTTATAAAACTTTACAGCTTATACAATTTTTAAAACCACTATTGACATAATGAATAAAATGAGATTGTGAAATACAATATTTTTAAAGGTGGCTATACTGAAATAACTGCAAAATATGAAGAAATTAAAGGATTACGATACATGAAGTTACAGTGCAAAGTGGATACGAAGGAAATCAAAGCAAAAATTATTAGGGTAGCTGAGTTTTACTTCTTCTATCAGCCATTGGATGACTGGCCAAATGCACGAGTGATTTTGGCTGGCCTGGTGAAGAAAAAAGCATTATTTGTACATCCATACAGATTTCGAATGTTTCCCCCATTTCGTATTCTGCTGGATAAAAAGAAACGTGCAGCTTGGGATGGTAGAACAGGCAGTGGTGAGAATATTTTGTGTTTAATTCATTTTTGCTTTGATGTGTCTATTTATTTTTGCCAACAGTGAAAGTTTTCTATTTATTTTTATAGTAGATTCTGTTTCTAAAAATGCCTGAAGAACTCTCAAAATACCTAATATTTAGTTATTCTGATAAAAATAAGACATATAATTAAATAAGTATTTTGTATTTTTCACAACTACCAACTGCATGTAATTTTAATGTACTTTCTTTAGCAAATCTAGCCTATTTTTCAATTTCCATACCAATGGATCTGTGTGATACTCTTACGGGGACATTCCAATGTCAGGCTAAAATATTGTCCACTGGTTTCTCGGAGCACAATAATGCATCATTGGTAACAGGATGGTACAAACTAGATCACTCCCATTTATCCAAAAAGAGTAAAAACTGTGGGAAAAAAGGAGGACCAAAAGTTGAAGATGCAAAAAAAGAAGGAAACACTGGAGGTATTTGAAAAAAGTTCTTTCAAATAAAGTTACATGTATAGTACAGAAATCTTTTTAAGGCCACCTGAGTAAACTCAGGAGTCAATGTGTTTTCTCCTCTGCTCCTGGGTATTTTGCAGATGAACTACAGTTGTGTGCCAAAAGTGAAGATAATTTTATTTTTCCTCTAAATATTTCATTGAAAACAACATTTTGTAAATCACTGGTACATATGTATCATAACAATTCTTGACATATATTTTACCAAAAATTTTTGGATAAACCAAAATTGATAGTTAAATTGATAAAAACAATAGTTTTTATCTGATCAGCAACAATGTTTTAAAAATACATACTGTAATTTAAGTGCGACATGAAAATTTAAATCACATACTTTCAATGATGCACATTTATAAAATTAGTCAACATTGATCTTGAATTTTAGAACTGATATGTTAAGTGATGAACCATCTTTTACTAAAAAACTGAATATGTAATGATCTTTTAAAAAACGACTACACATTTTCTGGTTTAGGTAATGAAATAAAAAATGAAATTGGACAAAAATTTACCTGACTTGCCAGTACATGATTTTACAAAACGTTTTCAATGAAATATATAGAGAGAAAATAAAATTATCTTCACTTTTGGCACACATATGTACATTGCTCATCATAACTACATATTGTACATGAACCTACATAGTTATGATGAGCAAGGATCCTTTATCCAGAATTAGGAATTTCAAGGCCCTGGGATCAGGGGTACTGTATAGGGAGGGGGGCTCTAATGATTATATACTGAAAATACATTATTGCTTTGAAATCAAACAAGTACCAACAATTGAATTTGGTTTGTGTTTTAAACCAGAGGCCATGACATTCATAATTTTGATATAGGCACCATTGCTCATGACATAACCATACACTTAGCATGCTTAGTTTGGTTACTTAAAACCCATAGTAGGGGAACAAAAAATGCACATAAATGTGTATTGCCCTTCCTCCCACTTTTATTTTCATCAGCAATTATTTATAACAAGCAAAATAAAGACATTGCAATGGTTCATATATATGAAATACACCCATTCTAAATAAAAACCCTATAGTGAAAATTTTAGTGAGACACAAATTTAGCAATTTATCCTTAATTATTGGTATGTAATATTTGAAGTGTTGAATAAATTTAGCAATTTTATAATGCCCATCAAAAAGTTATTACAAATAATTAATTTTTAGCGAGATTCATTTTTAGAGATCTCGATCAGCACCCTAATGCTAGTAATGCCAAAATTAAATCCTTGCTAAAATTCTGTTTATGCTCTAGTCTTTAAAACTGTCTTAAAACTCAAGTAATTTTGCAGCTGAAGATGAAGAAGAAAAAGATGCTGGCTCCATATCACCAACTTTACAGCCGTTATTTAAAACTGAGGAGGAATCAGGAGGGGGAGGAGGGGGAGTTGCCATTGGAATTATCTGTGCCCTGGTTGTGCTAGGAGTCATTGGTTTTGTAGCTTACAAAATGTGAGAGGATAATCTTGCTTTTTATCAGATACATCTATTGTTCCATCTTTCTGTCTATCTGTTTGTAGGTATTTTGTCCGATGATAATCTTAAATTTTTTTCAAACCTTGTGGAAATGATACATGTATACACTGTACATGATATAAATGTATATCATTTAAACCGGTGTGTCAGTGTGGTTGTTTAAATTTGAAAAAATTAACTTTAGTTTATTTAATGACTTTTATGAGAAGTGAATTTAAGTTAAGTGTGGACGTATCTTGATTGTTAGAAACTTTTGTAAAAAAGTTGCATGTGACCAGAGTGTTCTTTTGATCACATTGACAACATATCTTGACTCAATAAGGGTTACAACAGAGCTGTTTAAGTTTTGCTCTGGCCACAACTTTTAAATGGATTAAGAAACAAAAAGCTTATACTTATTAAGATTGAGGTTACATGTACTAGTGATTTGTCCTAGCTGAGTCTGATTAAAAGAAATAGGTTTCAGAATTAAGTTTTAAAACCCTTCCCTTGGTCATAACTTTAAATTGGAGAAACTTATTAACTTAAGATCAATTATACTATTAGATATTAAGGTCATATGCAACGTAGTTTGAACTTTTTCCATGGAGTTAAAGAGTTTCAATTCTTGAAGGAGCTGTGTTTTATTTTTTATTGTCTATATATGGTGGTGTACACTTCATCTAAAACAATTCTGGATAAAAGAAACATCTAGAATATACGAGGGCTGTTTGGAAATTATTGAGACATTGTGTATTTTTTTCGGTGAAAATTCGCATAAACGTTTGACAAACACTAAGAATTCGTAAAAGCAAAAAAATATTTTACAAATATTAAATGTCTTTTCTTCAATGGTCGATAAATATGTCAATGGTAGGTGTACCCGGAGCAGTCATGAAATCAGATGTTGAAAATATGTAACAACAACGTTCAAACCCACGGTGGACCCATAATGAAGGCGATAATAATTCAATTTATGTTTATAATTTTTCAGTTTTATTTTGACTGCATATTCTATAAGTTTGCTAGAATTCTGATCAGAAATAGGGAGATCATGAAAAAAATTAAGCGCAGTAAAGAATTCTGATAACGACGAAAAATTGGTTATCTAACGTCAAGGCGGAGCAGCGAGAGACATAAAATTTTGTGTAGCGCTATCTAAAACTCTTCCAGACTGACCAACCTGATAAAACCATAACAACAAGGCTGCAAAACATGTTTAAAGATTGTTATTTCATTGGATTATATTTTTCTGACCAATGATTCAACCACAGTAAAATAAAAAACTCCGGACAAATATCAATTTTGACCTAACAGAATCAATAACGTTGACCCGCGTTGCGTAAATCGGCACTGCATGATGCAAAGTCATCCGGCATATATGACAAATAAAAAGTTTACACTGACGAAGCAACAGCACATATCTTTTTCAAAAAATCATACATCCTTAAGAAAAGATAAAGTTTTTTAATATTATATATGATAACGAAGGAAAAAAAAGTAAACGCTTCCCGATCGTTTCACATACGAACACATCTCGCTGACATGACGTTAAAATGACGTAGCGATGCTGCTCCGGGTTGATAAAGATATGCATGTTTACAATTTCACAAGAGCATGTCTAATTATCCTGTGAATCAGAAATGTTGCATGTTTGTTTTATTCTTTTTTTCTAAAATGTTGACGCATTTTCCTTAATTTATCTCTGTCTCATTAATTTCCGAACAGCCCTCGTATGTTTAGTATTTTTAAAATATTTTTCTTTGAATCTTCCAAGAATTTTAAGCAATTAATATCTTTAAAAAACCCCTGGTAATGCATGCTAATTTTTTGTCTATGAACATCTGTTGACCCTGTAAGCTTAAAAGAATATCTCTCTCTCTTTTTTTTTTTTTTTTTTTTTTTATTGAAACTTTCACACATATTACAAACATTACAAACTTCTGTATGGATATATGTACAATCTAAATCAAAAAAGACTAATCATAGTTGAAACATATTATACAAAATTAGTGTAAAAGTTCATGAAGAGAGAGAGAGAGAGAGAGAGAGAGAGAGAGACAGGTAAGCTTTAAATATTGTGCCATAAAACATATTCAGTTTTCTTTAAGCTTACCATATGAAATAAAAAAAGAAAGAAAAAGGGGGAGCTAAAGAAAGACCAGTGCAGTGCAGCTTTGAGGGATTTACTAATAATTATTATTAAAGAAATTGAAAAAAAAAACTGATGATAATAATTACAAAGATGGTAAATTAATTAAAGTATAACAACCCATTTCTGCCAGAAAGTATTAAAATCTGTCAGTTTTTTATCATCTTTTATGGTGTGTTTTAAAGCTTTAAAATATGAATTAAATAAATTTAAAAGACCTTGGATAGATGGACAGGTATTCTGACAGCGAACTTTATAAATATAATGCTTCATTAATATCAACATAGTGTTGAAGTATACTGAATTTTCATTTTCATCCTTTTCACCAAAAATAAATGATTTTTCATTGAAATTCAATTCAATGTCTTTGGCTTGACATAAACGTATGAATTTTTTTAAAAATTGCTGAACAACATTACATTCCCAGATTAAATGATAAATTGTTTCCTCTTCATCTTCACAAAAAGTACAATACTTAGTGTCGGATTTACCTATTTTATACATGAGACTATTTGTAGTAAGAATATGATGATTAATTCTGTATTGAAACCATTGTAATTTACAATCCCGTGTCACGAGGAATGGAAGATTATAAATTGTTTTCCATTGTATATCAGTTATTTCAAAATATCTTGCCCACTTATTTTTACCAGAAGGTTTGATAATTGGCTTATTTAGAATATCATACATAGGTTTTGATCCTTTCTTGGTAATGATAAATATTTTGATATTAAAAGGAATCATTGGTCTTTGCATTAATCCATTTCCATAAAAATTGTATTTCTTTAAGGATGTACAACACACCTACCCCAAAAAATTCCTGTCGTTTAATTTTCGTTATTTTTGTATATTTATTACATGACTATATCTACTGCATGTTTGCATATTTAGGACAAAATCGTTCGAGTGGTTTTTGGACAGGAACTTCCGTAGTTGTTTACAAGGAGAGAAAATTTTTAATCAATGAACTACTTAAACCTTGATTTTCAATAAAACCAGGTTAGATATAAATGTCAAATTTCATTGGCTTATTCCTTTGACCATTTAACACAAAAACATAGTCATCTTTTTGATATACATATCATCAAACAATTTTTAAAGACCTTAAACTGAAAAACTATGAATTTTCTAAGCCTTGAAAATTGCGTATTTTTCAAATTCAATTTTTTTTGTGAAAAAACCTGTCGTTTAATTTTGGTAAAAAAAAACTTTCTTTAGGTAGCTGGTAGTAAAAATAATCTTCATAATTTTTTGTATAATTTTTGTACGACCAGTTTTGATTTAATAGCGGAAAATTACCCCCTACCCCTTTCTCAATAAATCACGTTCCCGCGCGTCTTTCAGAGACGGGGTCGATCACTTTGTTATATGAATCTACATACACATTAAAAAAAATTAAATTGGAATATTGCTTTTGCTTTAAAAATATATTAACTTACAAATTTAAATGTTCTCATATGTAAAGCGTATTTAAATGTAGATTTTTAAGCAAGTTTTGAATACCCCTATCACCCCCACCCCTTCCTTTTTTGCGTCGAAGACCATTAGCGTTTGACGAAACGTCGTTTACAGTGCAAATATACTGGTATTTCGTCAAGAATATATGCATTAGTTTTTAAATTCATGAATGCAGAATAAATATTGACTACTCTTTTTATATGTACAGTGTATCAGGAAAAAATTACTGAAAGATTTTAGTGTTTAGTCCATATATATACGTATGCGTTATGCATTCCATATCACATGAAACCTGGATCAAGTTTTGTTGAACTTGAATATGTTAATTTTTAATTTTATTTCTTTAATTTTATTCATTATAAAAATGGTGTATGTTCAACTCTCCTGTGATATAAATGGAATAATTGTAGTTTCTTTCATGTCATTATTTCAAACGAGACAGTATATGGCCGTGGGGATACATCGACATTTGCATTAGATGTACATGTACATACACCCCTCATGATATTGTACGCATTTCTTTCATGTCGTTTTTAAAGTTAAAATGAAAAATTCCGTATTTGTACACATTAACTTCAAAATATCAAAAATTAAACTCTTCATCTATTTCAATTTATATCAAATCTCACATTGATATTTTTTCTAAAATCTTATAGGCTACGTTTTGTTTTGATTCGAGGAAATGCGAACCGACATTGTTGACAGAAAGTCAAAGTTACGATTTGCTGCAATAGGATATTCATAAATGTAGATAATTTCAGTGCAAGTGAACAATTCTTTTCAATTTACTTACATTGTGTATATGAGGTCTATAGTATTCAATTTATCAGGGTCTTGCTGTAAATGTATCTGATTTGTGGAAAACCGTGAATAAAGGGAGGAAAATAAACATCTCCTACGTTTTCAGAGTTGTTCCTCTTTGATCAGTAAGGGTCTGATCGATTTTACATTGTAAAAAGTTTATTGTTTATTTATTGTTGTTTTATTTAATTAAAGAAGAAAAACAATATTTATATCGTGTATGCACAAATTGTAATGAAGACCATTAATCGGAATGTTATATTATAGCCGTACATAATGAAAATTTTGGCAATGTAAAATAAAATTTTCAGAATAAAAAAGAAATGCTGCGCTTTGATCAAAAATCAATTTATTGTATATGAAAACTTGATATCGCGATTACTTAACTTACCGGAACTCTTTCGCGATGGAGGTAGGAAACGTCTGTTGGGTGGGGGCAAATGTGCTATTTAATACAGTGCAAGATCGATCATTGTAGCATTTATAAGGAAAGAGAAGTAAAAAATCCTGGTGGAATACTTTGCTAAACAATCGCTGAACCAACCTAATAAATTTTTTAGAGGAGCCAGTCCTAAATTGTTATATTTTTAAAGATATTTTTAATCAAGCGGACTCTTCTCGTTAAATTTTCATTGAAAATCGTCACATTTTAAAGCAGTTAAAATATTCTAAACTTTACTTATTTGACAATCTACTATTTGGGGTTCAATATCTGGCAAAACATTGTGATTTCGGCATTAAATTGTTGGAATCAGGCGATTGTCACTACTGTATACAATGTCATGTGCCCCAGAAATTTAGACCTTTCTCGACTCCCCCGCAAAAGAGCGGTAGTAAGTTAGATAACTGCGAGGTACTTATTGGTAGTCGCGATATTACGTAATGAAATGAAATAAACATTAAGAGATGGTATTAACTATTTTACGGAGTTTAATCGGGTTAATTAAAAAAAATACTTATTGATGAGTATGGTACGCACAATCACAGCCAAGCCCCATATCCCAATTTTCTTTCATGATTGATAAACATCGGGATCGTTTTACTCGTCGTTTTGACGCTTTATTTTTGACGTTAAACTTGACGTCACGTCAAACGTTCAATTGAAATTGCAAGAGTTATCTCCCCCAGTGTGTTGTACGTCTTTAAGTCTGCTAGTATTGTCTGTCTTATACCATTGTATGTCACATAATTTATTTTAATTTCAAATTTATCTTGTAGATCCTCTAATGATAGAAAATTGTTATGTTCATCTAGGAGAATCTAGCACATGAGTAATACCATTTTCATACCACAATTTATAAAAGACAGATTGTTTTCCAATTTTAAAATTTTTATTCAACCATAAAGGTTGGTTAACATATTCATTCCAGTCTGTAATTTCAGAATTATCTTGGATTTCCCGAAAAGCATTGAAAGTATCCTTCCAAAACTGATTGTGTAAACACTTATTAAACATACTGATCCTGTATTTATTAATTTGTTAATATCAATTATATTTTCAAGCAAAATTTTCCATTTGGAGTCATTGTCATTAATAATTCTCCTTATCCATGTTGATTTCAAAGCTTTTATGTAACAGCCAATATCAATCATTTTCAAACCACCATGTTTATATTGCTGTGTAGCAACATTTCTTTTAATTTTATCAACATTTGAAGAATATCTTGAAAAATTATCATACATGTCCTTATAAATTGTCTGTGAGCAGCGGGGTCATACATGTATGTCTCTGTCCCATGGTTTTGTAAACAAAGTCAAAATCAGCATTTTTCAGTTTGAAATGTAATACATGTATTTTTCGGTTTTTAATTGAATAAATTCAAAGAAGACCATGCTTTTGCTCACAACAAAATATGAATAAAGGGCACATATACCACAACTCTGAATCCTAGATTTAGAAGCTGTCAATTCTAGTCACTACTACATGTATGTGTTAGAGGAGCTCTCTCTTTTACTATAATGATTTAGACTCTTGGTTCTTTGTCTTATTGTGAGGAACATCTATATGTAAAGTTCAATAAAAATTGTAAGAGGATCAAGACCACAGTTATTTATACAGTTATATATCCTAGTTCTGGGCTAAACATATTTTCTTTTTTCATTCCACCTTTCCTTCTATACAGGTATACTAGATGTAATTACAAGTTCCTCAGTAAAAGTCTACCTGAAGTCAAATTTCAAACCGCTCTCTCTCTCTCTCTCGGTCTCTCCTTAATTCTTTACTAAAAAAATTATGCACATAAATTAAAAATTAATCCCAATTTACTAAAAAAAAAATTGGGGCGGGTGAGCGGATTTTATCCTTTATTTTTTTATGATTGAAAGTAACAGAACACTTCATACACAAAATTTTTAAATATACATGTACTTGTATGCCAATGCTAGTATGAATAGATTTTATTGTTTTCGTATTGTTTTAATTAAATATCTACTTGTTATAGAAGATTCTTGTTATAGAAAATTAAATACTATAAACTGGCAAATAATCACGATGGTTTTAATTTCACTATGTTTGCGATTCATCATTTTTCCGCGAAATTAAACCAATAGCGAATGTCATCATTAGTTAAAAAAAAAACGTTTAAATGTTCATACGAAAAATTAAATTAATGTCAGTTTTAAGATTTAATATTGCCTTTAGACTACTAGTATTCACTTAAGTCTGCAGACGATGTTTTATTATTTTTTTTTATAAACGCAAATCACATAAAACTGGAGATCGTTATTCGTAAAACTTATCCAGGTGTCATTAATTATTTCTTCACTTGTTTTTAATTGGTTAAAATCTCTTTAACTATTTTTCCTTCTCGGCATTCTCTATACTGAAAAATTATATTTTCTTTACATATTTGAATTGCTTTTATTGCCGATTTTTCGCTATTCTTCATATGGCTATTTTACAATAAATAGTGCCATGCGACTTTTAATGCAGACGGGAGGTAACTCTTAAATTTTAACCCCGATTCTTGCTGAATAACATTACATGAAAATACATTTGACACCCAAAAAGCAAAATAAAAAACAACGGGGAGGGACACTTTGAGATGGGCGGACAGGGATGAGAATCTAAAGATTAATTTTATCTGGCCTTAAATTTACAACAAATATAATCACAAAATTTTAAGTTCACATTCCTAAGGTGCTAAAAATTATTATTTACTGTTCATTTCATACACTGTGAAAATGTTATGTTGAATGACTTAAAGTTTATTGATATCTGTACTTTATTCAAAGAGCTCTTTTAGCAGGAAGTAAAGGTTGACAAGTGAAAACTCTATTTTTATTATACGAAATTCATCAATTTTTTTCAATCTTTCCACATCGTCAAAATTTCCATTTTACAGTAGAACCATTCAATTACATGTGTCAGGTTCTTTTCTAAATTGATTTTTTTAACAATCAACAGTTATAAAAGATATTCTAAAAGAAATGGCTTCACCTTTTTATTTTATTTTGCAGGTACATGAAAAAGAAAGCAGGAGAAGGCAATAAGGTACAAGTATAAATTAGGAAATTATGGTCTCGAAGAAAATGCTTTGAAAATAGTCATGCTGAAAATTTAAGGCCGTACTTTGGTACCCCACCCAAAGTAACTGAGTCAGGAATCCTAAAACTTATAAATTAATATGTAATATATAATTTATAAAACAAGCTAAGTCAGAGAATTTGTGTCCCGCGCTTTAGGTAAAAAGAAGAGCATGCATGGATTGAAAGGGGGGATGGGGACACTTAGTAAGGCGGGCGGGGTCATAGGGAGTTATGGTATTAAATTTTGATTGCAAAAATTCAAAAGCTTCTTTAGATATCACTAGTACTCAGAAATGAAAGTTTTACACATACACACAATGTATGAATTTATAACCTTGACCTTTGACTTTTTGACCCTAAAAATAAATAGGAGTCTTCCTTATGCCATAGGGAGTTGTGGTATAAAATGTCATTGTAAAAGCTCAAAGGTTCATGAGATATCGCACAGAAATGAACAGACAGAATATTTGAATTTATTACCTTAACCTTTAACCTAATTGCAAAATCACTAAGGATCTTCCTTAGATCATAGGGAGTTGTGTAAAATTTCATAATAAAAGTTCAAAGCCTTCTGGACTGATATCATGAGGAAACAAAAGGGCTATAGACAGACAGAACTACAGACAGACAGAGGAACGAACAGACAGAGCAAAATTAATACTCCCACTGCCCACTGGGGACAATACATTTTCAAGGAAATTATGCATTTTCAGTATAAAATGAACAGAGCCCTACCCTAATACCCCAAATCCTGGCATAGGGATTATGATATTCACAATTTTAATAGAGGCATCCTTACTCATCATACTCATGAAATTAATATATTTGCTAAATACACAAGGGCAGAGAAAATTTTCACCCCCCCCCCCCAAAAAAAAATCCATTGCATTTCATTGTATAAAACAATAGAACCACACCTTAACCCCTAAGCCCTGAAACAATTTGGAAAAAGCACCCCTTGTTTATCATAACCATGCACTTTAATTTGTATTGTAGCTTTATAACTAGAAACAATCTAATTTATCTTTATTTAATTTAATTAGATTGAGCCAGAGACAATTTTTTTAAATTAAAGTAATGGTGCATAATCATTAATAAGAACCTTACCCTTACTCCAAACCGCTTATCCTGGGCCGGAATTTCACAATTTTAGTAGAGGACTCTTGCAATGGGGATGGGGGGATGTTAAAAAATTGCATTAATCTTGATACATTGAAGTTTTTGCCTTGTCCAAAGGCTCGTTTTGGAGGTGGGGTCTTGAATTTCACAAATTCAATTCTCCTTTTCCTATAAGTGTTATTTGCTATATTCATTGAAATTTGTTCAGGGATTCCAGAGATGAAACTGAACATCTATACCAGTAGAAATTTAAATGTATTGGAAATAATCTGATGAAGAATAGATTTCTAATAGCTCAGGCCATACTTTTGAAAGATTTTGGTTACCTAATGTCTGCAATATTTTTTTTTTACACTTTACCAAAAAAAAAAACAACAACAAAAAAAAAAACAACAAACAAACAAACAAAACAAAACATAATGTAAGTTTAATAAACAGTGACAATTTATAAATTAAACCTACAATGAATTATGAAGTTACTTTGGTGCATATTATGGTCAATGGCCCTCTTATTAACATATAGGATGAGAGTGAAACAAGACCGATTAACCCAGCGGCAGGAAGGGGAAGAGGTCGAGGGAGGGGTCGAGGACGTGGAGGAGGGCAGGTATGACTCTCATGTCAAACTACTGTACCTAGATTTCCCATTATTTATATTAGCTGTGTTTTTGATTTGAATACCATTTTCGTGTATACATACTAACACGCAGAAATATACAGGGAGAAATGTGCACTAACGTGATGTCACAATGAGGCTACAGCGACGTTAGTAAAATTGTAACAATATAGGGCAGCGGGAAATTCAACTACTGAGTATATTTTTGATGCTTTTAGTTATGCATGTATAATGTAAATATAAGGAATGTTTTCAATTTTTGTGTGAATTATTGGTGTGTAAATCACACAAGACTTGCACGTAGGCATATTTTTCATGCCTACATGTACGTGGCAATTCTGTTTGATTTACACACCAAAAATTCCTACAAAACTTTAAAACATTCCTTGATTATTATCATGCAAATTCATCTCATACATGACGGCAATTATCAAGAAAAAAAAATTTCTTTTATTGCGATACCCAATAAATTTAAACTTTGAAGTTAATATAATAAAACATTACTTTTTTGCAAATTCATTAAAGAAAAGGCCTAGTGAATGAAGTCATGGTTCCAGATTGGCCTAAGATTGCCAAAAACTTTTAAAAACTTGATGTACCGAAAGGAAGTTCATCATTCACTTGTATAGTTACCTAAATGATGGGAATCACAGAAGATATGAATGCAAGTAAAATGCCAATCTCAAATGGAAGAAGCCTCTACACTGTGCCACCTTTCATTTTTTTATTGTCAGTTCAAAATATATTGACTTTCTTTGATTTCATGTTTTTATGAAAATGTGGATAATAAAATAAAGAAGATTTACACAAAACAATTAGCTTCATGTCTTATTTTGTTATATACAGCTGTCAAATAAAAAATATAAATTGTCTCATTTCATGTAGAAATCTCAGCTAGAATTTATTACATGTAGTTATGGTAAATGACATTAGTTGTGATACGTTTTTTATGGTAAACAAGAACCTTTGCGATAAATGATTCCCCCCCCCCCCTTTTTAGATAAGTTAAAAGCTAAGTGAGTTGTTTTAAAAGCCTTCAATCAGCCGATTCATTATACCCCTGTTCCGAAGGAGAGGGAAGTATACTGTTTTACCCTTGTGTGTCTGTCCGTAAAAAAATTTTGGTCGCAGTATTCTCAACAACTACTCATCAAAGATGCTTGAAATTTTAGCACATTCTTTGCTGAGGCATACCCGGTATGCCTTATGGTGGGATTTATTTCTGTTCAAGTCTGATGTCAACATTTCCTGTTTATCCTTGCATCTGTCCGTACCATAACCAATATTCATTGCAGTTTTCTCAGCAACTTGCTCATTGCACATGCTCGAAATTTTACCACTCTCTTGGTTGAGGCTTAATTGCCATATGATGGGATTCATTTTGTACAAACCTGTTATTAACTTCCTGTTTATCTATGCATCTATCCGTAATTACACTTGTTTACATACACTTGTATATTCACGTCAGATTATTAAAATAAAACGACTGTTCTCTGATTTCAGATGGTCTATTTTCAATATTAGGTGACTGCACTATCTCTGATAAAGTCAGAAAGCATTGCTGTCTATGATTGTATGAACTGTTTATATTTAATTCATTGACTATATATGAGAGACAGGGGTAAAAGAATTTGACACAAGTGAAACATCTGAGATAAAGGTATGATAACCTGTAACTCGCGGTTAAAGACACTCCCCCCCCCCCTGTATTAATTACTGTTTGTTTGAATCTCATTGGCAATGAATCAAATTATTTTGATGTAATATATTAAGACACAATATGACTTAATTTTTTAAACTGAACCGAGCGAAATATATGAAACCTGTAGAACTCCATAACAAATTAAAAAAAAATTACTCTAATATTGTGATTTCGAACAAATAATTTTATTATAAAATTTAGAAGTAAAGAAAAACTCCGTAAAAGAGCAAAATGCAAATCATGGCAAGACCAATGATTTCATATTAGTATATGAAACTCCAAACATAATTTTTCTGACCGTTATTAAAATAAAGAGACAAACCGAAAACCAGTTCATTATTTACAAGCAAAGTAAAGACGTGTTAATCATGCTTCAAAACTGCAATAGATGCCAAACTAAGACAAGAACAAGCAGGTTTTAGAAAAGGGAAAAGTTGTTGCGACCAGGTGTTTACCCTGCGAAATATCATAGAGCAATGTACAGAGTGGCAAAGACAGCTTATGATAAACTTTATAGATTTCGAAAAAGCCTTTGACAGTATCCACAGGGAAAGTCTATGGAAGATCTTAAGACATTATGGAATACCATCAAAGATAGCAGAACTGATAAAAGCTTTTTACGTGGAGTTTAATTGCTCTATAGGCAGCTCATCAGATGCATCCTTCATAGTAAAATCTGGCGTGAGGCAGGGATGTGTGATGTCAGCTCTCCTTTTTATACTAGCAGTTGACTGGGTAATGAAATCAACCCTAAATGGAAATAACACAGGAATAAGATGGACACTCTTTACCAATCTTGAAGACCTAGGCTACGCAGATGACTTGGCCCTACTATCACATATGGAAAAGCATAATTATGCAAAGTAAAACATCAAAATTACAGAGAAATGCAGAAAAAAAATTGGACTAAAAATCAATACCAGGAAAACTGAAGTTATGTCATTAAACACCAAACAACCAGCAAGAATACAGGTTGATGGAAACGACTTGAGCAACACAACAACATTTACCTATCTTGGCAGCATAGTAACATCAGATGGAGATGCGGACAAAGATATAAAGGCCAGACTAAGTAAAGCCAGAGGTGCGTTCCGTTCATTAGCCTCAAGAACATCTGGAAAACAAATGACATAAGTAGAAGGACAAAAATAAGAATATATAACAGTTGCGTACTATCTGTCCTACTCTATGGTTCAGAATGCTGGAGAATGACAGAGGGAGACATATGCAAACTCTCTAGTTTCCACAATGGATGCCTTAGAAAGATCATGAGGATTTTCTGGCCAAACAAAATTACAGATGTGAAACTACATGAGAAGGCCAGCACAGACAACATGCGAACCTTGTTGACTAAACGGAGATGGCGATGGATAGGGCATGTGTTGATGTAGCCAGCCGACAACTTCACCAAAGTAGCCCTTAGATGGACACCAGAAGGGAAGAGGAAACCTGGTCGGCCAAAGAGACCACCTGCGAAGGACGGTTGAAAAAGAAATGAGGGACCACAAGCTAATGTGGGGATAGCTGGAAAGAAACGCTAAAGATAGAGAGAAGTGGAGAAATCTAGTCCTTGCCCTATGTGCCCACGGGCATAACAAGGACTAGGTAGGTAGGTAGAGTAAAGACGTCCAAAACCAGTGCCAATGGATATTCACGATAGTCACTATGTCTGCCGACCATTTCCTGACAAAGGCATAATATTAATACATGATACTGGTGAAGAAAAATGACGATTTTGAGATTCTGAGTATATAATCTTTCGAGATTTGAGTGGTCGTTAAAAATGTACCATTGGTTTATGAATCACTTTGATTAGTGAGAAGAGCTCACTCTCACAAACTTACTGTAAAGTACTCTCAAGTGTATCTGATCTGCTTTCGATCGCTTAAAGACTTTTATAGTTTAAAGCCTTTGCCTGAGTGACGATGTTTGAGAATTTGCATAAAATCATTGAGTAGAAGGATAGGGGGAGGTAACTTAAACAATTATTGCTAGTATAGTGATATTAGGAAAAACTCAAAGAATGTTCTTGTGAGATCAAAATCATTTATTTTAATTAAGCTGCACATAATCATTTATAACAAAAATTTTATCAGAGACCTATTTGTGAGATTGTAAATACATGTATTAGAAGTTTTTAACAGAATAAATAAGTACACAACAGGCGCGGATCCAGAAATTTTTCAAAGGGGGGGTTGAAGTATTTTTCAAAAGGGGGGGGGGGGGGGGGTGAAGGCAAAAACAGTTAAAACGTACGCTGTAAACATACATATAGTTAAAAAACTCAATAGAATATCGATACAGGGTGGAGTATGGTTTTTGAAAGTGGGACGTTGATCAATCTGGGAAAAGGTACTTGTATACATTACCAGAAAGTTTTTGAAAAAGAAAGGAAAATAAATCTCCGAACCTGAAAATCCTATTTTGTAAAGGGACGGGTTTTTTTGTTTTTTTTGTTTTTACAACCGAATTTCTTTATACAATACAAAATGAGCCTTTCACCTTACATTTTCTATAGTAAAAACACAACAAAAAAATTAGAACTTTCTTATTTCTCTTTCTTTTTTGCAAATCCAAAGGGGGGGGGGGGTTGCAACCCCCGTAACACCCCTCTGGATCCGCCACTGCACAAGATATGGTACATGTAAAGGGAAACTGAAGACGTTTTTTAAAACATGTAAAAATATTTAAGCAATTACATGGCTTCCAGTTGGAGTTTATAAAATCCTTCTTCCTTTAAAACATTGCTTCATTATAAGTGGTTTGTTAATCGAGATACGAGGGATGCATGACACTACACAAGTTACAGCATTTTAACATAATTGTAGATTTGTACATTGTAGGTCTATTTCTTAAAGAGAAGACATATTCCAGCAATTGAATTTTTTAAAATTTACAATAGTTGATTAATAAGATAAAACGACTGTTCTCTGATTTCAGATATTTTCAATATTAGGTGACTGCACTATCACTGATAAGTCAGAAAGCATTACTGTCTTTCATTGTATGAACTGTTTATATTTAATTCAATGACTATATATGAGAGACAGGGGTAAAATTATTTGACACAAGTGAAACGTCTGAGGAGATATAGGTATGATAACCTGTAACCCCCCCCCCTATTTTTTCACCTGTATTACTGTTTGTCTGAGTCTCATTGGCAGTGCATCAAATTATTTTGATGTTATATATTATGACACAATATGACTTAATTTTGATTAACTGAACCGAGCGAAATGTACGAATTCTGTAGAACTCCATTATAATTATATAAAAATTACTCTAAAATTATAAATTCGAAACAAATAATTTTATCATGAAATTTAGAAATAAAGGAAAAACTCCGTAAAAGAGCAAAATGCAAATCATGACAAGACCATTGATTTCATATTAGTACATGTATATGAAACTCCACATAATTTTTCTGACCGTTATTAATATAAAGAGACAAATCCAAAATCACAAGCAAAGTAAAGACGTCCGAAACCAATGGAAAGGGATATTCACTATGTCTGCCGACCATTTCCTGGCAGAGGCACATACATTCTATCAGACAACTAATTTTGATTTTGTATATATTATTAATGCATGATATTGGTGAAGAAATGACGTTCTTGAGATTCAATGTCTTCATTGAGCTAATTATCTTTCAAGATTTGAGTTGCCTTTTAAGAAGTACCATTGGTTTGTGAATTACTTTGATTAGAGAGATGAAATCAGAACCACATTCTTCTTGACAATTACTGTCGAGTGTATCTCATCTGCTTATGATCGCCTGAAGACTTTTATAATATATTGTCGCATATCTGCGGTGATTTTCTTTGATCTTTCTGCGGTGATATATCCCATATCACATATGTGATAATACTTTCCACGCCCCTTCATATATCACTGCAGGAGGCAGAAATCAGGTCATGAGAAAAAAACCTGATCTTATTTTACAAGTTCGTAACTACAGAAAAATGAACATTTTAAGCTATTTCTTAGCCTCTAACTAAATTAAAATACATGTATTTAACTCGGTTGAAAGTTCTCAGTCGTTCAAAAGATTAATTATCCATTTTGAAATTTTGAAAGTTACGGTAATTATCCAAACTTTACATCGTTAAACTCCTTGATATTTGCTTCTGTGATTTCATATATGTCGAGTGCCTGGCTCAAAGATTAATTGTCAAAATCTTCAAACTCAGTTAAAAAGTCAAAGTCAAATTCACTAAGAACATCCGACATGTTGGAGAGCTAGCTTGAAATGAATCTTTTTTTTTCATTGAATTTTGACACTCTCAATGAAATTTACGTCATCAGACATGCGACAAGTTGCTTACATCATAGATGCCTCGTATTATTGGTTATATCGTTTTCATGGGGCGTGGAAATCTCGGGCGCTCCGCGCCCTCGATTTCCACGCCCCATGAAAACGATATAATCAATACTACTCGGCTTCTATGATGTAACCTATACGAAGCATATGCTTTAGAGACGATGACTAAGAATTTGCATAAAATCATTGAGTAGAAGGTTAGGGGGAGATAACTTTAACATTTGTTATGGTTATTCTATGAAAAACTGTGGAATGTTCTTGTGGGTTCAAAATCATTTCATGACGTAATTTTCATTGAGAGTATCAAAAAAAAATATTCAGCGTGTCATGAACATAAGATTCATTTCAAGCTAGCTCTCCAACATGTCGGACGTTCTTAGTGAGTTTGACTTTGACTTTTTAACTGAGTTTGAAGATTTTGACGCAAATATGAAATCACAGAAACAAATATCAAGGAGTTTAACGATATAAAGTTTAGAGATTTTACCGTAACTTTCAAAATGATTTAATCTTTTGAACGACTGGGAACTTTCAACTGAGTTAAACACATGTAATTTAATCTAATTAAAGGCTAAGAAATAGCTAAAAATGTTCATTTTTCTGTACTTATGAACTTGTGAAATAAAATCATTTTTTTTTCTCATGACCTGATTTCTGCCTCCTGCAGTGATATATGAAGGGGCGTGGAAAGTATTATCGCATATGTGATATGGGATATATTACCACAGAAAGATCAAAGAAAATCATCGCAGATATGCGACAATAATATTTTATTAATCACCAAATGTAAATTCTACAAATTCAATTGCTGGAAGAAGCTCATTGGTCTTGTCATTATTTGCATTTTGCTCCTGTACGGATTTTTTTGATTTCTAAATTTCAAAATTATTTGATCACAAATAATTTGTAGAGAGTTTTATTTTTGTCTACTAGTTATGGAGTTCTACATGTTTTCAAACATTTTCAACGAAACAGAAATAGACCTACAATGTATGCTGATGCTGTAACTTGTGCAGTGCCATGCATCCCTCGTATCTCGTTTAACAAACCACTTATAATGCAGCAATGTTTTAAAGGAAGAAGGATTTTATAAACTCCAACTGGAAGCCATGAAATTGTTTAAATATATTTACATGTTTTAAAACATTTCTATCTGCTACTGCGTGAACGTTATTGCTGAAACTTTTGTATTAATCGTGCTCAAGTTAACTTCCCCTAACTTTCAACTTGTTGGATTTATACAAATTCTCAGTTCCCATCACCCAAGAACAGGCCTATATTCTGATTTAGGCTTTATTCAGTCAATAAAAGAGCAGTTAATACCCCCTGAGTATATACATGTCATTAACAGTGAACAATAATGTTTGAAACTGCGTTTCTTTAATAACTAGCATCTGACATTATATATGAAGCAACACTCGTCTTTAACAGATCAGTGACCAAGTCCAGTAAAGTAAATTTATTGTGACCCAGAAACGTACGTCTTCAGTTTCCCTTTACATGTACCATATCTTGTACATATATTTATTCTGTTTAAAACAACATTCATTAACAGCTAACAATCATTTTTGAAACTGAGCTTCTTTAATAACCAGCATCTGAAATTGTATGACCCTTGAGGCAATGAACCAAGTCCAGTAAAGTAAATCTATTGTAACCAAAATATATATAAAAAAAAAAAAAAAAAAAAAACCTCTTCAGTTTCTCTTTACTGAGCACGCACATTCAACCAGACGCTCGGCTATCTCCATAAACTCCGACCAGCAGCTGGCTGGTCGGAGATTTACGGAGACAGCCGAGGGTCTGGTTGAACGAGACTAATATTTACAAATCTCTGGGTGACCCCCCCCCCCCCCCCCTTCTGTTAAATTCGCATTTTCCGGGTAATTCCCCAGTGACCTAGGTCATAATCAGCCATATAACAATCATTCGTGTTTCTAAATATAAATGACATGCAACATTCTAGCGGCTGCGCGAATCTCGGTTGTGCCGAACAGAAGTGGAGCAGAACACCCCAGAGTGAACTATGCTGGACACGAAACATCCTATGACCGTGTCTGTCTGTGAGTCGTACTTCCGCTTTTCTTTCGGCGACGCAAGGCAAAGCAGAGCAAGTCAATGAAAAAAGAAAAATGCCGAAGTAAGTATTTCTTTGAGGGAATAAAAGAAAAAACAAAAAAGATGTAACTAAGAATTTTTCTTTGGTATTTTTTTTAAAGAACACTGAAGTATGCGACGGACCAGCCACGGGTTTGATTGATTCCTAATAAATCTATGGCGATCTTTGTAAACGTTAATAATAATGCTACATCTACTCTAGTGATGAAAATACTTGAACCATTTTTAACATTTCAGATACTATTGTGATTACTGTGACACATACCTCACACATGACTCGGTAAGTATTTTTTTAAATAAAATATTTCATCCATGTTTAATATGATTTAATATGACTAGGTTAACAGGTCCAGTACAATCAGTACATTTAGCTACGTAGGTAGAATCCTACGAGCTTTATTTACCTACCTCAGGTAGCTTGATTTAGCTACCAAATGAATTTATTTCTATAAAAAAGCATTTTTCTCAGGATGTGCAAAAACTATCATTTTGATGCAGTGATCATTTTCAACTTTGAACTCATCTGAAAACAATTCATGAAAAATTCCCTCTTGAAGAAATGTTTTTTTGAACGCAATTGCAGTCAAAGTTTTGAAAGTTTTGGGGCTATGTATTATAGTAAGAACAGTTACTCCTTGAATGAAATGACAAAGAAGTCCAGTTTTAACACAATAATAGGTCGGTAATTATTCACACAATGTGAAGTAATCATATTTGCCTCACCGCACGGACAGGTAGCCAAACAATGGAATTGCATGTTTTGCTCTAAATTGACCAAACACAACGATGTTTAAACTATCTCTGCTTTGGAATGTTTTTTAAAGTCTCCCTAGTATAAATATCAATAGTCATTTAACCGCGATTTTTTGTCTCTTTTCCATAAAAAGAAAAGTTACATTGAAATAGCTAAATAAAGCTACCTGAGGTAGGTAAATAAAGCTACGTAGGTAATTCTACCTACGTAGCTAAATGTACTGATTGTACTGGACCTGGTTAAGGACATACACAAAGTTGTCTTGAGCTTTATTTACTAAATCCCTGTATAATAAAAAATATCAATAATTGCTATATCTAAGTGCGACTAATATGCTGATGGTGTAACCATTATATTAGGCGAGCACAAATACTTCTAAATTCTATTGTTTTATTTTACATCGAACTCGTCAAACCGCATGTGACATTTGGTACGTCTAGACTCTAACGTCACTTGTTGTAATATATTAGTTGCATTAACAAAAGGAAGCCTGAACAATGCTGAAAGTAAATGAAGAACATATTTGTTTACCATCTTCAATATATATCCATTAAATAAAGCCAAGATAACTCTTTGTTGAACTTTTGCATTTATTATCTCAGAAACATAGCTTTAATAAGTGATGCATTGTGGGGCCAGAGTTACTGCAGGAAAAATATCCATTAAATATATAGCATGGGATCCAAGATGACTTCGCTATATCCGTGAATTGGCAATATTCGTGTTTTGTGGCTTTTTTTTTTTTTTTTTACTGGGATTGTACTGTATTTATTAATAATATTTTGCAGAGATGAGGTAATTATTATTAATTTTATCTTGTCATAAATTAATTAACTATTATTTTTTAATTTTAGCCATCAGTAAGAAAGACACATTGTAATGGCAGAAAACACAAAGAAAATGTCAGATTGTATTATCAAAAGTGGCTAGAAGAACAAGTCCAAAAACTAGTTGATGACACTAGTAAGTATCTGTTTACTTCAGAAAAAGTATTTTTTTATAATGAACACATTGATTTGACATAATTGATATAACGACGAAATTCAGGGAACAAAATGACATATTTTCTTCTAAAACAGCTGCAGCCTTTAAAGCAGGAAAAATTGCATCCAATCCTTTCCAGTCCAATGCTCCTGGTGGAGCCATGATACCACCTCCAGCAGGTAAAGAATTCTAAATGCAACAGTTATGAATCAGAGCAATGCATGTAACAATTACCATTTTTGTCCATTTTTTAGACTAAAATCATAAAAATTTTCTTCTATATGTATAACTATAATGAAATTCATTGATAAGATATTTTGTGACTGAGATACTGTAGAAGCACAAATTTTCGTGGGGATAAGATTTCGTTGATTTGTCATCAAAAATAGTTTCGTGGGCATTAACAATGAAATAAGCGAAATTTAATCCCCCATGAATATTTCTGCTTTTACAGTACATCAAATGAGGGTTTGCCAAGACTTTGAAGACAAACCTTAGAACTTAGTTGTATAGATAATGTATCAATGGATGTTCACTATCAGATGTTGGATCTGATCTCAATTTTCAAACAAAAGATGAGTGGTCAGGTTAAGTTTTTAGAGAAAGTCTACTCCAAGAAATAAGTTTTATCTGAACCAGACTTTGCTTGGGTGATATATCTAGGAAAGCACACACCAGAAAGCTTGCTTTGGATGCTGGTTCTAACCTGCATTACCTGAAAACTAGGTTAAAGGTTTTGTTGCATGTCCATTCCCAAGCATTAGCTCTATGGATACCAAACTTTTAAGGCTAGGTATAGGTTGGGATTTTTCTATTGCGATTTTTGGAACTGCATTGTGATATGTATTTGCAATATTTTTAATAACAGTTAAAACGCTGTTTTCTTATTTTATTTAACTTTATTTATAATCAGAGTATATATAACTTTTTTGAATTCATTGGAACAAAATTTTTTAGTTGATTTCACTTCAGTTTGGTGAGAAAAGGATCTATCAACAGGACAACTTTATTCTTTGGCATGAATGAAAACGTTTCTGACATCTTAAATTTCATATTTTACTTTATAAATGTAAAGCCCAAGCATTTTGCCAGTATTTTATACTGGAAAAACGTATCACAATACTTCCTTTTGCGGATCAAAGCTATATTTTCAAATGAGTGACTGCATAAAAGTATTATTATATCCTGTCAAATGAAGTTTTGGAAATATATGGTGATCACCTTGTCCCTTTGCCCTTGCAGTGGAACAGATCCATTAGAAAGAAAAAGCAATACCAAACTTGCAGGGGATTCACCCTTGGATGCTCATTACCAAAACATGATTTGCCTTACTAACATTGCTCAAGATGAGCTTTGTAATCTTTGATTACTGATTCCATCATTTAAATAATTTTAGAAATACTTATACAACACTTTAGATAAATATTGTGACATAATGCAACAATTCTGTAAGAAGTTCTTTTTTAATCAATGGATTTTTGTACTTGTTCAGCTGGTAAGCCTGGAGGACCGCCCCAGGGCCCCATGCCAATGGGTGGACCAATGCCCGGTGGACCAATGCCTCTGATGGGACCACCAGGTGGACCGATGGGTATGATGCCAGGTAATTCATTGCTTTATCATCTTATATTTTCATCATATATTTATCTTGTATTTTCGTCATATCTTAATTACTACATATGTGAACTGCAGTGTATATATATGTCTTAATTTAACATTTTTGTAGTTAAAAATTTTTAGCTCTACTGGTCAGAGACCAGAAGAGCTTATGCGATAGTAATGCGTCCGGCGTCCGTCCGTCTGTCTGTCTGTAAACAATTTTTAAAAACGCTACTCCTCCTACAATTTTAGTCTGATTTCAATATAACTTGGCACACAAGTAGACTACACTAACATACATAGAATAGTGCATCGGTTTTTGATTTCGATGAACGGTGTTGCCATGGTTACTAAAAATAGAATTTTCTGTGAAATTCCTTTAAAACGCTACTCCTTCTACAATTTTGGTCTGATTTCAATATAACTTGGCACACAAGTAGACTACACTAAGATACATAGAATAGTGCATCGGTTTTTGATTTCGATGAACGGTGTTGCCATGGTTACTAAAAATAGAATTTTCTGTGAAATTTCTTTAAAACACTACTCCTTCTACAGTTTTGGTCTGATTTCAATATAACTTGGCACACAAGTAGACTACACTTAGATACATAGAATAGTGCATTGGTTTTTAATTTCGATGAACGATGTTGCCATGGTTACTAAAAATAGAATTTTAGGAGAAGTTACTGTAAAACGCTACCCCTCCTATAATTTTGGTCTGATTTCAATATAACTTGGCACACAAGTAGACTACACTAAGATACATAGAATCGTGCATCGGTTTTTGATTTCAATGAACGGTGTTGCCATGGTTACTAAAAATAGAATTTTCTGTGAAATTCCTTTAAAACGCTACTCCTTCTACAGTTTTGGTCCGATTTCAGTATAACTTGGCACACAAGTAGACTATTTAGTGCATCGGTTTTTGATTTCGTTGAATGGTGTTGCCATGGTTACTAAAAATAGAATTTTCTGTGAAATTCCTTTAAAATGCTACTCCTTCTACAGTTTTAGTTTGATTTCAAAATAAGTTGGCACACAAGTAGACTACACAAAGATACATAAAATAGTGCAATGGTTTTTGATAAGTACAAACCAGTAGAGCTGCAGTCTCGACAGAGACTTCTGGTTATATGAGTTGTCAAAAATTTTTAATCACTGTATGATATTTTGTCTGACAAATTTAAAGTTAAATAAAATTTGTCAAACCAGATATTTGCACTGTATTTTGCACAGAAGGGAAACTTAACTGCACCAAAATGCCCTTTATATATTTAACAGCTTTCAGTGTCATGTTAAATTATTTATGTAGGTTAGAGAGTCTAATCAGAAACATAAATAACATGACTTCCTTTGACAGATCCAAATGACACATTGTAAATAACAATAATTTATGTATATTACAGTTGGAATGAGACCGCCTATGGGACCAATGATGGGTCCTATGGGTCCAATGGGTCCTATGATGAGAGGACCAATGATGGGGCAACCAAGAAAACCTATGAAATGATAGTGAAGAGGTCTTGTCACTTTATGTTTGAATGTGTGAATGTGTAAATAGTACAGCAGCATCAGAAGGGAGGCAGGAATGAAATGGTGGTCTGAAACATGCTATGTTCATTATTTCCATCTCAGGAATATTTCAGCAAGACACTGATTGAAGACAGCCAATTGTTTATAATTGTGTTGAAGGAGGATATGTTAATATATTTTTACTGTGGGAGCATTTGTGTCATTCTCAACCATTGCTTGCATTTGTTCATGTTTTTATTCATCATCTCTCACCTGACTGAGTTTCGTCACTCCCGTTTTCCAGCTGTTCATAGATACTTATGTTTATTCAACACCCATTACCAGTAACACTCTTTGAGGAGTCATTGCAATGAAATAAAAAAAGGCAAGAAACTAAAATGTGTTCTGGACATGATGACTTCTTGTGCCACATGATCATTTGAAATGTGTGATCCTTTCATTCAGAATTAAACCTTGTGTAGTTCTTCATTCCAAAGCAGTCTTAAATTCTGGGGTCTATTTTCACAAAGCTAAGCTAAACCATATTTTTTATATTAAATGAAGATACAGAGTTAATAAGTCTTAAAAACCACAGAGTTTGCTAAATTAGTCTTGCTTTTTGTTATGGAAATAAATGTTTAAAAATAAACCCTTTGTAAGACTTTAATTTACAGCTTTTTTAAAGGACTGACAAAACATCAAGGTCTACTTTTTCATGCTTGATCCATAATGGGTCCCTAAATTTTGACCCTTTGAAGATCTTCATTGTTAGCTATATTCACATCACAAAGAATGATTATAGTTGTTGAGAGAAAAAGGGCACACAGGATTAGGCCATTCCAAGTTTTTTCTCTGTTTAGCGACCACCCACCTTTCAAAAACCTACCTACCTATTCGCAGAAAACACACAAGCCAAAACATTAAACACAGGCTTGAAAGTCATAAAAATGACGCCCTTCAAATGATTTTGTCTAGCTTAACTGCTTTAATAGAAGAAATATCTATTCTTAAGCAAAAACAAGGGATTAAATGCTTAAAATACACCCAATATAACTTACTCTACAGAATTATTTGGAGAAATTGACAAAATTCAAAAATTTCGACTAAACGTATCAATTTCAGGACTCATGATGTTGTGTGTTTTTTCTCATATGGGGTGTAAAAACCAAGGCGCACACTGACGCTAAACATAGAAAAAACTTGGAATGGCCTTATTATTATTTCAGATGTTCAATATCTAGGCACTGCAGTCAGTGCAGTGTTTTGTTTCAGTAGATAAGATGTGTTAGTGAAACACTTATGCCACCATATGACAGCTTATGGCAAGCATTGAACTTTCTCAAATGCAAGTCAAACTCCAAGGTAAAAAAGGTCAAATTTTTGGTATCCAAAAATATGTGTACGAAGTACTAAGTGTAGCTTCAAAATAAGTCATGATAAAATATTTTTAAAAAAACCTGTACCCTGTTCTGCTTCAAAATGTCATCAATGTTTACAGTATCAATTTTTAGGTCATCTGAGTAAACTCAGGTGAGCTATTGCTATCCGTTGTTGTCCGTCGTCGTCCGTCGTGCGCTGTGCGTTAACATTTGAACATTTTCAGCTTCTTCTCTGCAACCTCTCAACCAATTTCAACCAATTTTGGCACATAGCATCTATGGATGAAGGGGAACAAAAATTTTGAATTTCACGGTCCCTGCCCCCCGGGGCCTGAGGGGTGGGGCCAAAACCACTAAAATTAGTGCAATCTTTAAAAATCTTCTTCTTTACTCCTGGACATCATGCAGGCAAACTGTTGGCATGAATGTAATGAGCATTGAGTCCTCTACCAAAATTTTGAAATTCATGGCCCAGGGTAAGGGGTTCTTGTGCTAGGGCGGGGCTATATAGATTATATAGCGAAAATGCATTATTTCTTTGAAGATCTTCTTCTCTGCTCTTGGGTATTAAGTAAACTAAGTAAGTACATAGTTATGTTGAGCAAGAGTGCCTCTTCCAAAATTGTGAATTTTATAGCCCCAGGGTCAGGGGTAGTGTTGTTACGATAGTTGCCGACTATCGAAAAATCGTCGTTAAAAGGCCCAGGTCGGCGACAATCGATTGTAAATATTATTATCGATAGATCGCTATATTTTTCATGTCGTATTTTTTAAGCCGATCAGGTTCAACTTTTATATTCACCAAAGGGAAGTCACTAATCGGCGGTAAACAAAATGGCAAACGTGCATGGTGAAGAGGTTGACGCCTAATTATATCAATATCCTGGTGCAATACATATAAATTTTTTGGCTTTCTGAAAAAGGGCGATGGGCCTCCATGCAAAAATAATATACAGATGGACTCGATTATTTGTAAATTGTGTAAAATGTCGTCTGCCAATTCTCAAATGTCATGGAATTCTTCGTGCTGAATTAATAAATTTAACCTTTTTAATAGTTCAAATTATCGATTATGTAATCGATTGTGTTCTTCCGATTCAATTTGATAATCGATAGTAAAATATGTCCGATTTTACAACACTAGTCAGGGGTTCTGGTGTTAGGGCGGGGCTCTATTGATCATATAGTGAAAATGCATGAATTCTTTGAAGATCTTCTTCTCTGCTCTCGGGTATTAAGTAAACTAATTAAGTACATACTTATGTTGAGAAAGAGTGCCTCTTCCAAAGTTTTGAATTTTATGGCCCAAGGGTCAGGGGTTCTGGTGTTAGGGCGGGGCTCTATTGATCATATAGTGAAAATGTATGAATTCTTTGAAAATCTTCTCTGCTCTTGGGTATTAATTAAACTAATTAAGTACATACTTATGTTGAGAAAGAGTGCCTCTTCCAAAATTGTGAATTTTATGGCCCCAGGGTCAGGGGTTCTGGTGTTAGGGCGGGGCTCTATTGATCATATAGTGAAAATGTATGAATTCTTTGAAAATCTTCTTCTCTGCTCCTGGGTATTAAATAAACTAACTAAGTACATAGTTATGATGAGCAAGAGTGCCTCTTCCAATATTGTGAATTTTATGGCCCCAGGGTCAGGGGTTCTGGTGTTAGGGCGGGGCTCTATTGATTACATGGTGAAAATGCATTTATTCTTTGAAAATCTTCTTTTCTGCTTCAGGGTATAAAATAAACTAACTAAGCACATAGTTATGATGAGCAAGAGTGCCTCTTCCAAAATTGTAAATTTTATGGCTCCAGGGTCAGGGGTTCTGGTATTAGGGCATGGCTCTATGGATTATAAAGTGAAAATACATGAATTCTTTGAAAATCTTCTTCTCTGCTCCTGGGTATTAAATAAACTAACTAAGTGCATAGTTATGATGTGCAAGAGTGCCTCTACCAAAATTGTGAATTTTATGGCCCCAGGGTCAGGGTTCGGGTGTTAGGGCAGGGCTCTATTGATTATATAATGAAAATACATGAATTCTTTGAAAAAATTTCTTTTCTGCTCCTAGGAATTAAATAAACTTAGTACATAGTTATGATGAGCAAGAATACTTCTTCCAAAATTTTGATTTTATGGCCCTAGGGTCAGGGGTTCTAGTGATAGGGCGGGGCTCTATTGATTATATAGTGAAAATACATTAAATCTTTGAAAATTTTCTTCTCTGCTCTTGTGTATTAAGCAGATGAACTACCTATGTAGTTATGATGAGCAAGGACCCTAATCTTCCAGAATTGTGAATTTCAAGGCCCCAGGGTCAGGGGTACCATAGGGGGGGTGTACTTATATACTGAAACTGGATGAATTGTTTGAGATCTGCTCCTTGGTATTAATCAAATATTTTTGAAAAGCAAGGGTGCCTTTTCAAAAATTGTGCAATGTGTGGATCTAGGCCTAAGGGTCAGGGGTTCATGTGTGATAGGGGCATTACTGATTATTGCTGAATATTACTGATTACTTGAAATGCATTTTTTGTTCCCCCACCCTGCCTATGGGTATTAAGTAAACAAACTAAGCAACTGCTAAGTGTATTATTATGATGATCAATGGTGCCTCTTTCAAAATTGTGAACGCCATAGCATCTGGCTTAAAACATGAATCAAATTAAATCACTGGAAAGTTGTTGCTTAATGCTCAGGTGACCTTTAAGGCCATTGGGCCTCTTGTTTTTTTTAAAGGTACATGTATCTTTTGCTGGCTTCCATGTTGTAAATTTCCTTTACCTGCACGGAGGTCAAACTCTATCAGTACAATTACTGTCGAACACCAACAAATACAGATGAGATTTAGCTGATTCATCCCATTGTGTGACATAAATGGTCCAACATCTCATCGACAGGTCACTCTGAGGTCAAACATAGATTTTTTTTTGACCGCCCAGTAAATCATTGGAAATGTTAGACCTATAAGTATTAGATTTATATACAAATTTTTTAGGTAGGCCTAAATCTTAATGGTCTCAGTATCAAGAAGAAGAATGTGGGTTGACCGACGATTTTGATAGAACTTTCAAAATACATGTAGAAAGTTCATCACACCACAAATCTTGGGATTGGCCATTTACAAAATACTTTGTGAAGAGCATCTTTTTAATATCAACTTCAGAATACTTGTTTGTACAGTCAAAATGTTTTTTAACAAAATAATATTGCAAATGACCAATGGCGAGGTAAAAGTGAATATACAAGTTCCATTTTTATTGAAAATGCAACCGTCAATGAAAAAAAAAAATCATGGACTTTATTGTTGGGAGGTTTTATATAAAGTTGAAAAGTTTTTATGCTGATGATTTTGGTAAAATTTTGTGATTTCAAATTTTCCAAAAGTTCCTTTGAATTTTCAAAGCAATATGAGCTGCAACTTTGATGTCATAATATTTTGTTGCAAAATTGTAAATAACTATTTCAATTTAAAAAAAAATATAAACTTCTTTTGTTCATATTTGCAATGGAGGAACTATTTATAAGCTTTGATTGATTCAAAATTACATTATTGTCTTCCTGTACAATAATGATTGCATTGTATTGTACATGTATATAGAAGTATTTCTTTTGCTTTATTTTAGTCTAATCGATCATAAAGGTTTAAGTTACATACAAATCTATCATAACACATTTTAACAGCAAAATAAATTTTTCAAAAATGCTATAACGTAATTCCACCTTCCTATGATGTCATAGGTTTTTGCAAAAACTGTAATTAGTCTAAATTCATACCTTCATTTCATTACTGGTTCCTTTTGGTTCCTGGTGGAACATAGGGCCTCGGCAACAGTTCTCCACCGCACTCTATTCTGGGCAGCCTTTATCAGTTTTTCCCATGTGTGCCCACATTGCCTGATCATGATCATGACTTTTGCCAAGTTTTCCTGGGACGCCCAACACGCCGTTTGCCTTGTGGGTTCCACTCGAGTGAGTGGTGTGTAATGTCTCCTGGTGGTTTTCGGAGGGTATGTCCAATCCATCGCCACTTTCTGCGGGCTATTTGTTTAGTGATTGGGTCTTGGTTTGTTTATAGTTTTTGGCCATCTGATGTTTAATGTGTGGCGCAGACATCTGTTAGCGAAGGTTTGTAGTTTGTTGGAGGTGGTGTTGGTGACTCTCCATGTTTTAGACCCGTAGAGGAGCACAGACTTAACATTGGTGTTGTAGATGCGGAGTTTTATGTGTGTGGATAGTGCTGCTGAACTCCACACAGGCTTGAGGGTAGTGGAGATGTGTCTGGCTTTATTACCGGTAACTCTAGCTTTTATGTCTTCATCAGTTCCACCAGTGGCTTTGACGATACTGCCTAGGTATGTAAAGAAGTCTACATCTTTAAGGTTGTGCTCTACAAGTTTAACTTTCGTTTGCTGTTTGTTGTGGAGCCGCATCACCTCTGTCTTTTCGATGTTCACCTTTAGACCTGTCTTTGCTGCTTCTTTTGCAAGCCTATTTGTCTTGAGCTGCATATGCTCATACTTCTGGGACATGAGGCATAGATCATCTGCAAAGTCAAGGTCTTCCAAACACTTGGTGAAAGTCCACTGGACTCCTGTCTTACTATCTTTTGTTGTCTCCCGCATGATCCAGTCCACTACCACTAGAAAAATCATTGGTGACAGCAGACAGCCTTGTCTAACCCCAGTCTGTACCTCAAACGCTTCAGTAAGCTTTCCATTGTGGATGACTTGGCATGTTGCCACGTCATACAATTGTTGTATCAGGTTGATAAAGGTAGGAGGCGTTCCATAATGCTGTAGTAGTTTCCATATGCCTTTTCTATCAACACTATCAAAGGCCTTTTCAAAGTCTATGAAGTTAAGATAAAGTGTTGACAGCCACTCCAGTGACTGTTGGATTATTATACGTAGAGTGGCGATCTGGTCTGTACAGGACTTGTCCTTTCTTAAGCCTGCCTGCTCTGGACGAAGTCGTTCTTCTATAGCATCTTTGAGCCTTTCCAGTATTATTCTTGTTAGGATCTTGCTTGGGACAGAGAGGTGCATGATGCCACGCCAGTTCTTGCATTGTCCCAGGTCTCCTTTCTTGGGTAGCTTCACTAGATGTCCTTTTTTCCAATCAGCTGGTACCTTTCCCTCTGACCAAATTCATACCTAATAGAACAATATCTTTTGGAAAAATACTTTACTATAGCTGAAATGATAAATATTATTAAGTAAAAGAATTTTTAAAATGCATATTTTCTTTATTTAATCAATTATTCAATCTTTAAAAATGTTGACAAGGGCAATTACTCCTTCTAAGGTCTCTTTGTTCAGGCATTTGCTTTATCGTACTCCTAATGTAAAATAGTTTCCCTGATATTCTCAATTCAAAAGTATCTTATAAGTAGGAAGTATTTATGAATATTCAGTATCAGAATCATGCATTTTAACCAGTTTTTACTTATTTTTCATGATACTGTTTACAAAATATGTGCGAGTTTTTATGTTGACATACACTTCTGTTTGTTTATGTTTTGCATCTTAAATAATATGGTGACCTATACATTTTTTGCAATAATTGGAAAATTTAAAGTATATTAAATGAAAATAAATGCAGTTTTTATACTTTGATCCATTAAAATTGTGAGGGTGGAAACACCTTAACTATCCACAACTGATTTACACTACTTCTCGAATACATGTATATCATTGCACAGTACAACAAAAGTTTCTCCTTCACTGTTGTGAATATTTTAGCGAGGAGTAGAGAAAGAGGCTTGGTAGAACATTTGCTGGAACCTGCCATGTTTCTTTGGAGGGATTATTATGAAGTTTTGGAATCCAATAGATATGGTAATTCAAAGTCATGTTGGTTGTTGGGAATATTAAAAAAAATATTGAAAACTGACATAGTTCTGAAGAATTTCCTACATATAGAGCTTTAAGGGTATAAGTTGGATTACCAGTTGGAATTAAATCCCAGTTCCTCTAAAATACAATTTTTATAATAATTAACCTTACAAACAAAGACAATCTTGTTACCTACTTTGTCATCAGGAACCAGTACATATTGATCGTTTAATCTATCTAATTCTTTTTCCACTTCTGAATTACTCAATACAGAAGGACAGTTGGTTGTCATTTTGCCCTACAATTGCCTATTGCGAGATTTTAACATACATCTGATACATTAAATCCATTCTGACAACGTGTCAAGGCCTTCTTTTGCATTTTTCTTTTGTCCATCGCCTGGGATAATCTTCCACAGAATCCATTCTATTTATGAAACTATGACGCCAGTTAAAACATCGGGGTGCCCTAAATTTTGGTCTTTTTATAATTAATGATGAGGTCCTCTTTATTTATGTCACCAGTAATAGATCTATAACGTGCCCACTAGGACTATAGTTGTAGGGTGAAGAAGATGAACAGGAATGTAAGGAGGATTAATGGGAAAATGAAATTCTATTATTTTCTTTTGTACAAACCATTCCATAGGACCATACTTACATTAAACACAAAAAAAATCCTCCTGAATTTTTTTATTACTTCAAGCATAAAGAACACAAATACGAAAACGAGAATGTAATTCCCCAAAATTCATAAGCATGATTTTCATGTTTTCTACGAAATAGGTACGCTTCAGTAAACATCGTTTTTATTTTAAAATTAAATGTGATTTTTTTTTTGGCGGTGGGCTAGCAATTGTTTTCTAGTGTACACTTATTCTAATCATCATCTTCGTGTATCTTTGCCAAGCTTGTTAGATCGGCACAAAGAACCAGTCCTCCAGTCAGACAAAGGATGCCTATTCCTAAGTATCCAATCTGAGCAGCACTTGGTCGGGAATCATCTGCGCATGTCAGAGATCTTCTATAAGAGCTGGTGTTTTTAGTGTCTACAGTTAGATTATTTCTCAGTTCCTGGATTCTCTGTTGGACAGTTGTGATGTTGTATACCACTGTGGTAGAAGTGATGCATGGACCAGCCACTTAAAAGTAGAAATTACAATCTTACATGTAAACACTAACTTGGTAATAGTATATAGATTCTTTTACTTCGTTTTAAACAATAAAATGCTTTTTTGTTTGGTATTACTGGAATTAACGGAAGCAGGTGTTGCAGAAAAAAATAATTAACCCGAGTTTATATTTATATCTGTTTAAATAATCATTTAAAGTAGGATTAAAAAGATTAATTATTGTATTAATGATGCGAACGTCTTTATACGTTTCATTGATGGAACAGCCACTGATCAAGAAATCTGTACTGGCGACATGCCTACTGTAATTCATGCAGTAATTAACGCAATGGGTTTTCTTAATAAATAAAGGAGAAAAAATTCAGTGGATGTAAATATATATGCGTGAAATGATGTTTCAATGTACACATTTAAAACAAATTCTTATACACTGTAGTTATATGTAATTTTTTTTTGCTACATGAACTCATAAGCTTACTTTGCTTTTTCTGGAAGGTTTGTTGATGTGAAAAATCCATTTTTGAGTTAGAGAAGATCGAACTCTCTATTGATTGGGTTTTACTATCTTTGTTATTTTATTTTTCATTTGGTGTACATGTCACAGTTGCTATTTAATTAGATACTTTATTAATAATTCATATTTGGTTAGCGCGCATTGCTAATCAAACGTAGCGCTGTTTGTGTGAATGAGTGCCATGTGTGAATGTTTTGTTTGTCACGTGATGTTTCTATTTTTAGCTTCCCAACCGACCAGGTATACGAGTACGACCAGTGGACCAATGACAGACCTCTATCTGATAATTAATATGCATGTATACTAACTTCGTGCACTATATAAGCGCTTATCCCGCCAAATAAGTTATCCATTAGCTTTTACCTTCACGGTTTATGAGGTCTAACCATTTATGAAGTCATCGAGTTATACGATGTCTTGATTACTATTATAATAATATTCATCATTTTATGTTGCTGGATACCTGGTAAGATTAAATTCTAATGATGTAAATACTTATATCAGTTTTGATAATACGTAAAATATCTTAATGACAGCGACGTGAATTTTCATGTTGTGTAATTTGTAACATTGTTTAATGTGCCGTATTCGTCTCTTGTTAATGTGTGTGTTGTGAGAGTGTTTTCTATGTTTCTTTTTGTTATCCACAATAAAACATCATATAAAACCGAATCCAGCGTTTTTCTGAAACGATTGACCCTGTGACATACAAAAGGCAGTTCATTTTTAGAATTTTTTTTCTTTCAGTTTCTTTATGCGATGTAAAGAGTACGAGGGTTGTTCGATATGTATTGTGTATTGTACGATATCTCAAAAGCATTCGATTCAAATAGTCAAATGGACATTACATCCCTTCAAAGTATTCTCCGTGATTTGAAATACACAATTTTAATCTCTGAATCTATTTCTGAAATGGTCACGGTACGCTGATTTAGGTATACCTCTGAGGCACTGACTGACGGCTGAGCCAAGGGCCTGTGGGGACTTGTATCGACGACCAGATAAGAACTTTTTCTTTTTAAGTTTTGGAAAAAGGAAAAAGTCGCATGGTGCTAGATCCGGAGAGTATGGTGGATGTGGCAAGACGGTAACCTTCTCAGACTTCAAAAATTGTTTCACAAGCTCAGATGTATATGATGGAGCATTATCATGAAGAAGGCGAACATGCCTAAATCACGACACAGGACGTCGTTTCTGATAATATTTTTTGAGCTTTTTCAGTACAACATCTCGGTAATACCGACCTGTTACACTTTTGCCCTTCGGCACCGGAATTTGTACGGCTAAACCATCACAAGAGAAGAATATGCAATAAAGGACCTTCTTTGTGTCCTTTGTCTTTTTGGCAACTACAGGCCTTCTACCGTGTTTGGTTAGCCATAATTTGTTTCCAACTTTTCTTACTGGTTCGAAATAGTGAACCCATGTTTCGTCACCGGTAACTATGTTTGCAAATTGTCTTTGATTGAAGTTTAGAAACATTTTTAGCAGTCGCTTAGCGGTTTGTATTTGTACCTTTTTTGGTCATCTGTCAATATACAAGTATGAGGTATCCATCTGGCAGAAATCTTTCGTACTTTCAAAATACGCCTCAAAATGAAATGCACCCGCGATAGCGAAATGCCAACAGCTTTGGCAATATCACGAATCGTGTACCTGCCATCACTTTCAATTATTTCCTTGACTTTTGAGACATTTGTCTTGTCTGATACAGTCACAGGTCGACCCGATTTTGCTGCATCTTTGTCGGACTCTGTGCCAGTCAGAAATTTCTGTTTCCACCTACGAACTGCCTCATAAGATACCTTATCAGACCCATAAACTTCCCCCAATTCAGTAAACATAGGTAATCAGAGATTACAGAGCTCACCTCAACGAATGTTGTCTTTAAGTAAGGCAAATTAAGTCACACAATTAACCAACAAAAAGTGTACATCCAAAAATGCAAAATTTATGCAATTTTGATACTTTGGAATAGACCTATATAAAAACTTAAAACTAGTTCTTCATTATGAAAATGTAATTAAAATCCAGCATCTGAAGCAAGATTGAGAGTTTTCATCCCTTGATGCATCATTTGTGCAACTTTGGTTTATATAAGCCGTATAGTTTCTTGGTGATAGACCTGCACCCATAACTTTTACGAGGTCTATTGTCTGGAAAATGTATGTCGAATTCAGCATCTGAAGCAAGTCCATTAGTGTGCATCCTAAGATGTATCATCCATGCAAGTTTGTTCAACATAGAGCTCAAAGTTACTTGGAAATGAAACCTGTATAAAACATAGGTAATCAGAGATTACAGAGCTCACCTCAACGTGTGTTGTCTTTAAGTAAGGCAAATTAAGTCACACAATTAACCAACAAAAAATGTACATCCAAAAATGCAAAATTTATGCAATTTTGATACTTTGGAATAGACCTATATAAAAACTAAAAACTAGTTCTTCATCATGAAAATGTAATTAAAATCCAGCATCTGAAGCAAGATTGAGAGTTTTCATCCCTTGATGCATCATTTAAGCAACTGGTTTATATAAGCCTTATAGTTTCTTGGTGATAGACTTGCACCCATAAGTTTTACGAGGTCTATTATCTGGAAAATGTATGTCGAATTCAGCATCTGAAGCAAGTCCATTAGTGTGCATCCTAAGATGTATCATCCATGCAAGTTTGGTCAACATAGGGCTTAAAGTTACTTGCAAATGAAACCTGTATAAAATAATTAACCTTTCCACTAATCCAGAAAATGTAGGTCAGATTCAGCATCCGAAGCCAGCCTAGTAGAATGCACCCTTAGATGTACCATCCATGCAAGTTTGGTCATTATAGGGCTCAAAGTTACTTGGAAATGAATCCTGCACCATAAACTTTAACCTGTTTACTCGTCCAGAAAATGTAGGTCAGATTCAGCATCCGAAGCAAGTCTGGTAGTATGCATCCTAAGATGTACCATCCATGCAATTTAGTCATTATAGGGTTCATAGTACACTGTACCTTGAAAATGAAACCTTCACCAAAAACTTTAACCTGTTCACTCAACCGGAAAATGTAGGTCAGATTCAGCATCCGAAGCAAGGCTGGTAGTATGCATCCTGAGATGTATCATCCATGTAAGTTTGGTCATTATATGTCTCATAGTAACTTGGAAATGAAACCTGCACCAAAAACTTTAACCTGTTCACTCAACCGGAAAATGTAGGTCAGATTCAGCATCCGAAGCAAGTCTAGTAGAATACATCCTAAGATGTACCATCCATGCAAGTTTGGTCATTATAGGGCTCAAAGTATCTTCGAAATGAAACCTTCACCAAAAACTTTAACCTGTTCACTCAACCCGATGTAGGTCAGATTCATCATCCGAAGCAAGGCAGGTAGTATGCATCCTTAGATGTTTCATCCATGTAAGTTTGGTCATTATATGTCTCATAGTAACTTGGAAATGAAACCTGCACCAAAAACTTTAACCTGTTCACTCAACCGGAAAATGTAGGTCAGATTCAGCATCCGAAGCAAGTCTAGTAGAATACATCCTAAGATGTACCATCCATGCAAGTTTGGTCATTATAGGGCTCAAAGTATCTTCGAAATGAAACCTTCACCGAAAACTTTAACCTGTTCACTCAACCGGAAAATGTAGGTCAGATTCAGCATCCGAAGCAAGGCTGGTAGTATGCATCCTAAGATGTATCAACCATATAAGTTTGGTCATTATATGTCTCATAGTAACTTGGAAATGAGACCTGCACCAAAAACTTTAACCTGTTCACTCAACCGGAAAATGTAGGTCAGATTCAGCATCCGAAGCAAGTCTAGTAGAATACATCCTAAGATGTACCATCCATGCAAGTTTGGTCATCATAGGGCTCAAAGTATCTTCGAAATGAAACCTTCACCAAAAACTTTAACCTGTTTACTCAACCGGAAAATGTAGGTCAGATTCAGCATCCGAAGCAAGGCTGGTAGTATGCATCCTAAGATGTATCATCCATGTAAGTTTGGTCAACATAGGGCTTATAGTTACTCGGAAATGAGACCTACACCAAAAACTGCACCAAAAATGTTAACCTGCACCAAAAACATTAACCTGGTCATTCCTTTGCTGAAATTGCAGCATCTGAAACTTTGACTGGTACAATGAAACACACTAGCAACATCTTCCATGCATGTCTAATCAATATAGGACATAGAAGTACTTAAAAAGAAAACTGCTCCAAAAAACTTAACCTTAACCCGGGACGCCGACACCGAGGGTATCACATAAGCTCCCCCCAACTTCGTTGAGGTGAGCTAAAAACTAACCTTTTCACTAATCCGGAAAATGTAGGTCAGATTCAGCTTCTGAAGCCAGCCTAGTAGAATGCACCCTTAGATGTACCATCCATGCAAGTTTGGTCATTATAGGGCTCAAAGTTACTTGGAAATGAATCCTGCACCATAAACTTTAACCTGTTTACTCAACCGGAAAATGTAGGTCAGATTCAGCATCCGAAGCAAGTCCGGTAGTATGCATACTAAGATGTACCATCCAGGCAAGTTTAGTCATTATAGGGTTCACAGTACCTTGGAAATGAAACCTGCACCAAAAATTTTAACCTGTTCACTCAACCGGAAAATGTTGGTCAGATTGAGCATCCGAAGCAAGTCTTGTAATATGCATCCTAAGATGTACCATCCATGCAAGTTTGGTCATTATATGTCTCATAGTAACTTGGAAATGAAACCTGCACCAAAAACTTTAACCTGTTCACTCAACCGGAAAATGTAGGTCAGATTCAGCATCCGAAGCAAGTCTGGTAGTATGCATCCTAAGATGTACCATCCATGCAAGTTTGGTCATTATAGGGTTCATAGTATCTTCGAAATGAAACCTGCACGAAAAACTTTAACCTGTTCACTCAACCGGAAAATGTAGGTCAGATTCAGCATCCGAAGCAAGTTTTGTAGTATGCATCCTAAGATGTACCATCCATGTAAGTTTTGTCAACATAGGCCTTATAGTTACTCGGAAATGAGACCTACACCAAAAACTGCACCAAAAATGTTAACCTGCACCAAAAACATTAACCTGGTCATTCCTTTTCTGAAATTGCAGCATCTGAAACTTTGACTGGTACAATGAAACTCATTAGAAACATCTTCCATGCATGTCTAATCAATATAGGACATAGAAGTACTTAAAAAGAAAACTGCTCCAAAAAACTTAACCTTAACCCGGGACGCCGACACCGACGCCGAGGGTATCACATAAGCTCCCCCCAACTTCGTTGAGGTGAGCTAAAAATCTGCTTTACCGCATTACCGAGTTTTGCGCGAACTTTTATATAATCTATAATTTCTTCAATATTCTCAACCCTTTTCCCAACCATTTTTACAACAGTAGTCAACGACTGGCTCTATTGAAATGACGATTATTTTATAACCATGTGTAGATGAAGGCTCGTGTTTATACTGTTGGCATGGTATTGAATAGAGTTATCCTGGCGTATAAATATCGACGAAATCGTGCAAGGCGTTATCGCGCTGTGGTACAATACACAATACAAAGCGTATTGTAATTTATATGTATAGAGTTAGTTAACCTGCACAGTCGAAGTCCGTGGTTTCCCAATGTGTACCGTTACATGTTATCAAACTCGGAGCTTTGTTGGACTGGAAACCAAGCTGACAGGAATATAAGGTGCTGCTATTAGTCGTCTGTCCGTCGAAGAGTTTGTAGGAGTTTAGAATGTCATTTGGAACTGGACAAGACAACGTCTGACCTAATTAAGAAAAAAGATACGATAACAGTAAAAAAAAAATACAAATTTAATATAAGCATCAACGGTTGACCTTTTTATGCACAGGAATTACGGGAAATAGGAAGCTAAAGTATGCAAGATAACAGTTGGCCTAATTTATATAATAGATGGGCAAAAGAAAGCAAAGAAAAACGCACAACAGTGGATGGTTGAACTTATTATGCACAATAGGAGGGACAATAGAATGGGTAATACTCAGTATAAGACCGCAGAACATTAACTCGCAAGACTGGAAATATGCAGATTACGTATTTCTATCTGTTACAATGATAGACAATGAAATGGTTCGGGTACAATTCGACGCGGACGCGGGAAAAACATTGGATTGAAATTCGAGTTTGAAATTCATTTTCAATCCACCTGAGCTACGCTAGAACGGAAGGTACGTTATTACTGATTGACCGAGAAGACAAATAATTCCAACTTTGGTGTAGTTTGAAAGGGTGCGTATCATTACCGCTACATTTTCAATATTTTCATTACCGCTACATAGTCATTACCGCTACAAAAAACCTTACGTTACCGCTACATAAAAAAGTATACATTACCGCTATATTGCCTCTTTTCACCCCTACTAATGTTATTGTGATTTAAATTCAAGACACGTGGTTTAGGTTGATCTATTCAAAGGTTATAGGGTAGAACCGGTTTTATAAATAAAATTGGCAGTAAACATGCTATTGCTATAGCCTGTTTCTTTTGAAAACATGTCCTGTAATAAATGTTTCCAGACCTTTCTGAAAGACTTTCATGATTTTCAACAGAAAAAGGGTGGCTTAAGGAGTGGGTGTTAAAATAACATATCTTATACTTTTCGGCCAAAATTAGAGCTCACTAGTGACCGATTCGCTGGTAAAAATGTGCATTATCATCTACACTGACAAACGTTTGTTTGCCTTATATGGCTATTGTTATAAATGCGCACAGAGGATCTCACCACGAGCAACTGTCCAATCGTTGAATGAATAACAACGTTTACGCAAAATACATGTTTACATTTTACTTCGAACACGTAGTTCAGGTCAATCTACGATCATGTTTTAATAATATGTAGTTTGTGTCTAGTTCAGAACACCAGCGCTTCAAGGGGAAGGAAAACAAGCAGCATCTCTTATGCATTTAAATGGACAAAACTTTGTTTACGTACGTGATCACGTGTTTTGGCCATGGATTGTATTCACCGATAGTACAACAATGGAATTAATACAGACGCAAATCGCTTTTGCAGTATGACTTTCAGAAACCTAGACTTCCGCCGTCTTTATGAGCATGAAAATAATATTTTTAAAAATGCTTTTCATTTACCATAAGATTTTCCTTTTTTTTCAAGCGTAAAATTCCTGTAGCATTCGTAGTAACCCATAATGCAATATTCATTCAGCTGATTGGTCAGTTAAAATCATGCTGGGGCCTCATTTGCTAATCTGTCGCCAAAAAATATAGTCCCGGTTCCGATGCAAAAATATTTGTCCAAAAAGAAATTTTAATTCATGACTGCAGAAAATTGTATTATAAAGAATATTTATTTAAGTTTGAATGAATGTAAAAGAGATCGATTGATTGAATTACATTTCTATAGACATCAGCTGATTCTAGGATGGTGAAAACTGAAACGCAACATAACTTTTCTGTTTACCATGCCTCCACGTGCTAGTCACTTCCTAGCCACATTTCCGTGAATAATTTACCCTATCTCGCTGAAGTCTCGCTAACTCTCGCTAGAGCCCTGCTAGAGCTACTAAGAACTCATCGGGTTTTATAATTTGCAGAACACCGAAAAATAAAAGGTTCCGAACACATTAGTAGGGGTGTCTTTTGTTAGCCAGCCACTTATGCGTGTACAGTACAACCTATACATGTACATGCATAAGACCCATTCCTCCTGCTCATCACGAGGAGGTGAAAGTAGGACTTTGAACAGGATTGGTCTTTTTTTTTTAATTAAAATCAACAAATAATTCGTCGAGGTCTGTTTTGCAGCTGCTTTTGCAACTCTTTTCAACGTATCTCCACAATTTTGAGTTTTTGAAAGTCTTTATAAATCTTTATAAAAAAATCAATAAGTAAGCCGGCATTCCCTCGATTTGTAACAAACTTCTCAATGGTGTCCATAATGTTCAGATGACGCCAAATAATTAAATTCCGACTGCAGAGTTATTTATATATATGTACTCATTCTGATTAGATAGTGAGTGAATTCTGTAGATTAGAACTCATGTAAACCGAACTATACCTGGCTAAATCGATATGTAGCGGTAATGAGTTGTTTTTGGCTGATTCAGTATGTAGCGGTAATGAGTTGTTTTTTGCCGGAAAAATGTAGCGGTAATGATCGGTCGAAAATCTGACAAAATGTAGCGGTAATGAGTTGAAATTTTTGGCAATGTAGCGGTAATGTTGACCTCCCGTTTGAAAATAATGTATAAATCAAGATATGAAGGGAAAAATATTTGATTTCTGTTTGGTATAATTTATGTATGTGTGCGTTGAAGGAGGGGGGGGCTTAAGATAAGATCAGATAAGATTTATCGATACCAATTTGGGGCCCATCAGGGCATACAAGTAATAAGAAAAAATATACAAGAAGAAATTCAAAATTGATAGTAGCAACTAACAAAAGACAAATGATGATACAGCAGTTGGGGATTACAACATAAACTAGTTCTAATTGTAACGGGGACCGTTACAGATGTTCCCCAAACGCTCCCCAACTCCCTTTTTGTGCAAATTTCCTTTAAAACTTTTTTCAATATGCTTAGTATCGCAGGATTTCATAAAAGAATTTTAAAAGCTACAATGATATCAACTTTTTGTCATTTAACGCATTGTTCTCAAATGCACGTGCATGCACATGCAAGGTGATCATGACATGTTGTCTAAACCATTAACATATCTTTATATTCCAGAAATCAATAAAAAGTCATAAAAATATAAATTTTACCGTTTTTCAAACATATTGTTCATTTTACGCATTGCGTGTGCGCATGTGCATGCAAGCACGTCCTTGCATTCAATTTTGATAGCAATATCATGTAGGAATCCATAATACCTATTCATATTCAAAACTTCATCCTATTTTGTTGAGAAACAAGAAAGATATAGGCATGTAAAGTTTCAGCCAATCAGATTGCAGCACACGTGGATTTATTTGCTTTCATGATACACGTAATTCTTATATATCATGCGGTAGATCTTATTATATGTGACAAAGTTCAAAATTTCAAAGGATGATGACGTAAAACAAGAAAGATATTGAGACTTTAGTTTCAGCCAATCAGAGCAAAGCGCACGTGCATGCGCGTAAGATCTTGCAATTTTGACCATGTCATCTTGTCCATACTACTACTATATTCATGCATTGTGAGTTTCAAAAAATTCCATCAAGAAATAGAAAAGTTACGGCTTCATCCATTATCTTGGTAATTTCACATGTTGCACGTGCGCGCTCTTGCCAGCACACGCGCATGTAGGTGCTTTCATGAAAATTATTATATATCATGCTGTAGATCTTCATATTGTGTGACTAAGTTCAAAATTTCAAAGGATTATGACGAAAAACAAGAAAGATATTGAGACTTTAGTTTCAGCCAATCAGAGCGAAGCGCACGTGCATGCGCGTGAGATCTTGCTATTTTGACCATGTCAACACGTCTATACTACTAATATATACTTATATTATGAGTATCAAAGCATATAATCAAAAAATAGAAAAGTTACGACTGTATCTATTATTTTGGTCATTTCACGCGTTGCACGTGCGCGCTCTTGCAAGCACGTGCGCGCAAAATGACCTTCGTTCCGCAAATCTACATAACATGCCTACTGACCCTAAAAAGGTTTCACCTAATTCGGACGTGTAGTTTACAAGATCATTCGCGGAAAAGATTTTCCCAGGAAGAAGAAAAATAATAATAATAATAACTAGTGCTAATTGTAACGGGAACCGTTACAGATGTTCCCCAAACGCTCCCCAACTCCCTTTTGGTGCCATATTCCCTGTAATCTTCATTAAATAAGACAAACTCTGTGCATTTTTGACTTTAACAACGTTTTCCCAAAAGGATACTAATTATATTCATATTTTAGCATTGCCCCCAAGCGCATGTACGTGAATGCATGTGCGTTATGACCATATCATCTTGTCTACACTATCTATATATTTTATTATACTATATATTAAAGCATTCAGTCCAAAAGAAATAAAAATCACTCATTCAAGTTTATTTTTAATTATACTCGTTCTAAATGCACGCACGTGCGTGCACGTGCATGATGACCATACCTTCTTGTAGGAGTCCTTTACATCTATCTCTGTTCTAAATCCCATCCGGTTTGGTTGAAAAACAAGAGAGTTATAGCCATATCAAGTTTAAGCCAATCAGATTGCAGCACACGTGCATACGTGTGATTTCATGAATATTTTTCTATACCATATTGTAGGTTATCCTAATGCATGACTATATTTTAAATTTCAAAGAATTTCGTCAAAAAACAAAGGATATATAGCCATTTAAAGTTTCAGCCAATCAGATTACAGCACGCGCACATGCGCATGCTTTCATGAAAATTCTTTTATATCATGCTGTAGATATTCATAATGTAGGACTATGTTCAAAATTTCAAAGGATTATGACAAGAAACAAGAAAGATATTGAGACTTTAGTTTCAGCCAATCAGAGCGAAGCGCACGTGCATGCGCGTGAGATCTTGCTATTTTGACCATGCTATCTTGTCTATACTTCTAATGTATCCTTACATTATGAGTTTCAAAAAATTTCATCAAGAAACAAAGGAGATATAACCTTTTAAAGTCAAAAAATAGAAAAGTTACTACAATATCCATTATATTGGTCATTTCACGTGTTGCACGTGCACGCTCTTGCAAGCACGTGCGCGCAAAATGACCTTGATTCCGCAAATCTACATAACATGTCTACTGACCCTAAAAAGGTTTTACCTAC